TTTTTTTTCTATCTTTTACTTTATTTTATTCAACTTGTTTTTTTTTTTTTTTTTTTTTTTTTTTTTTTTTTTTTTGTTTGTTTTTTCTTTTATATTTTTGTGCCTCTTTTTCTTTATGATCTCAGTGTTGTTAGTAGTAGGGTTAGTAGCTTAGGATTGAATAGTTTTGAATAGGTTTAAGTTAGTAATTTTAGTATTATGGATAGTTTTTACAACACAGACTCCCAATGTTCTCTTGGCAGAAGGGTGTATCAAATAAATATGGGTTAGTAGGGCAAACTTTTTAAACTCAATTTTAGGTTATTTATTATAAAATGTGGTACACCCTGTCCTAAAGGTAATTGTACAAAATTGAAAGGCCTCCAATACTAGGCCCTAATCCAGCTGTCTGACAGCAGCTTAAATCTCCTCCTCGGTTATAGCAACTCAAATCTCTTCCGCAGTCTAAATAGAAAATAAGCGGCAGAATTTTGGTCTAGAATTTAAAACCAGTACTTGTACTGGACAAAGCTCTTATATTAAGTAAGCTGCCTTTAATTGTCTTTAGTTACGTTAAAGTGTCCATTCTCACTAATTAAGTACATTGAAGCAGTGTCTATATATCACTGTAATTTTGGTGTCTATTGCACAGGATAACTAAAGTTCTTAAGTGTCAGTATAACAAATAAAACTTTAAACTTCTAAATTTTAATTAGAGGGAGATTTTAGGAACTCCTTACAAAACTTTTTCTTAGAGGTGCAGTTTTATCAAATACCACTTCTATTTGAGATCAGCCATTTTGGGCCTCCTTGCTGTCTTTTAGAAAAATAGACAGATTTTTCAAGAGCAGCTCTTTTAGAAGTGAATCAAGCGTTAAACTAGCTTGGTCGTTTTATTAATATTTATTTATTTATTTATTTATTTTCGTAAACGTACACAATTTAAATAATTGGTACAATTAAACAGAAGAAAAAAGAACTATAAGAGAATATATCAAAAATGAATACAAATACAAGAAACAAAATCATACTGTAATTAGGTCGTGCATATAAAATTAATAATATCGCCAATCTCAGCTTGGTCAACTCCATTGATAACGATCTTATTGTTTTTTGCAGAAATTAATTCATTTAAAAATGGAATCCTCCATTCTTCTTCCAAGGGTATTTCTTGAAATATCATACAATTTTTTTACAATACGTTTGTCGATAATATTCAAATCTTTGTTGCATTTGTCTGCAATATTTCTCAGATTTTTTGCAGTTACTGACCTTTGATCAAATTTTAAAAGATTTATCAAAAGTCTGATACAAATTTTTGACGAATTTTCTAATGAAGAAATGAATGAAACAAATCTACTGCAGAACATGGTCATTAAATGAGAAGACTGTGACACTGGTTTCGACCTGGGAAACCATTTATGTATTTGTATAGGAGAGGATTAAAGTCTGCTGAAGAATTGTATGCTGCGTATACTAAAGAACAAAGTGCTCGTGAAGAGAAGGCAGCAACTAAACGAAACTATGGTTCCAAACCTGCTCCATATGTAAAGCTCAAGTCTAACCGACCCTACGGAAACTGTCCTGTGTATACAGTAGATCCTGGAGACCTTCATCCCTGCGACTGTGATCCCAATAAACCTGGTAAGTTTTCATTAATTCAGAATTTTAATAATTCGCTTCTTGCAAACATGCACAGATATTTAATACGCTGATACGTCATAGATCATAGTGTGAATTTTTTTTGATTAAATATCTTTACTCTTTTTTTGAACATCAGATTTATATGCAAATTTTAATAGCTTAGATTTACGTAATCAGAATTAGGGAGCCAACGGCAATCTTTTATTTGATAATGTAATAATACATTGTGTGTTACAGGTCCATGTGGGGAGGATAGTAACTGTATTAACCGTATGCTCATGTTTGAATGCCACACTCAGGTACTAAAACCAGGGGAGAAATATAGACTTGCAGTTCCCAAATATAAAGTTTGGATTAGGATCGAATGTTTCAAAACATATTTCACTGGTAACAGAATTTTTTTCTATTTCGGTTGGGATTATAAAGTTCAAAACAAGCGTCTCGTTCTTAAGGACTGATGATGACGTAAAAAGACAAAATATTTCCTACTTTGAAGTTATGCATTCGACAGATAGAGAACACTTTTCTTCATCAATTCGGATTTTTCAGTTGGGTTTTTAATTTAACTTAATTTCCAAATACGTTACTCAAAACATCAATTAAGATAGCTTGTTAAAAAGTTTAATTTAACCATGTGAAACCAATTTATTACTCGCCTCACACTTTTTTTTCTATTCTGTATATTTAAGTAAACAGAGCCCTGACGGTGTAAAGTGTAAACTTATGATATTTCATAGTTTGACTGTTAAATCTAGCAGAGTTCATATTTTAAAACAAGAAAGGTTCAATGCATTAGATTGTAAAGATATTGGTAAAAGAAGAGAATTTGAGGATTGATCAGTTCCTTTATCCCCATGATATCACTGTTAATCCTAGGTTTGTAACGCGAAGGATAAATGTGAGAATATGAGGTTTCAGAAGCGTCAATATCCAGCTCTTAAGGTATTTTCATCAGTCATCAAATCAATCCAGATAATTTAAATACAATTTTTGTTAATTTGACAATTTTCCATTTTCAAATTTTCTGTTGCAATATAAACCCTAGTTCAGATTTTTCATTTTACGCTGCAATAAACTTCATGGGTTACTAGCAAGATCAATCAGATAATTGGGCTCGGTCTTATTTCTACCTTTTAAAAACAGAAGGACCTCATTTTAATAATTCAAATTCTGAATTTTAAAAACGTTATGAACTAAAAAATGCTTTCTGCCAATTCTTTTTTTAACAATCCTTCTATTACCAATAACATGCGCATAATTGTTTTGGGTCTGTCCTAGAGGACGATTCTTGCTGTCAATTTTGTACATGACCACTTATTTTTTTCAGCAAAATTATTATTTTAGGGTTAGGTTAGGACAATTTCTGGGCCGAGCGCTGCTGCTTTGACAGGCTAGGGGGCCGAGCGCTGCGGCTAGAAGAGACTAGGGGGCCGCGGCTATGACAGGCTAGGGGCCGGGCACTCCGGCCACATGCGCAATTATATCCATTTGTTACATATGAGATCCATGTACAAAATTGATAGGGGGGGGGGGGGGTCCAAAAATCGTTCTCTAGGAAACCACCATTGTTTTAACAAAACCATCTAAAAGTCTTAACAAAGGAAAACCATTTCAGTTTTCAAATTTCAATAAGATTGCATTCGTATTTTTAGGTTCATAGAGCCGAGGGTCGGGGCTGGGGACTAATTGCTGAGGAACCGATTAAGAAGAGCAGTTTCGTCATTGAGTATGTCGGGGAGCTCATCACTATGGAGGAATACAGGAATAGGTTAGTTCACCACACATAATTGTAACGAAAAAATGAAAAACTGAATATAATATGAACAAAATGAGTTGTCTAACGCGACTGAAAGGGAAATGGGGATGATTGAGTAAATGAACGATTGAATGTTATTAAGAATGAAGATGAACCAGGATATTAAGAAGGAGAACTATTATTATTAGGCTATAGATGAAAATTAAGTGAATAAATAAACGAATAAACGAATAAACGAATAAACGAATAAACGAATAAACGAGTAAACGAATAAACGAACAAACGAACAAACGAACAAACGCGTAAACAAATAAAACGAATAAATGCATTTACGAAAACATGAATGAATGAATGAATGAATGAATGACTGACTGACTAAATAAATGAGTAAACAAATGTTAACTAGGATGAAGATGAACCAGGATAGTAAAGAGGAGAACTATTATTATCTAACCATAGATAATAATAGAATGATTGACGCCGGACCGAAGGGAAACAGTGCTAGGTAATTTAGTCGGATAAAATTCATTTTCCATTTTTTTCTTAGTTCTGTTTAGCACAAATAAATAATTCTGCAATATTTTAAACAAATAAACAATTCTGCAATATTTTAAACAAATAAACAATTCTGCAATATTTTAAACAAATAAACAATTCTGCAATATTTTAAACAAATAAAAAACAAATAAACAATTCTGCAATATTTTAAACAAATAAACAATTCTGCAATATTTTAAACAAATAAACAATTCTGCAATATTTTAAACAAATAAAACAATTAATCTCTGAGTAAAGTTGCACCAGATTAAATCTAATCCTAATTTGGATTCGTATAACTACATCCAGGTTTCTTAGTATTTTCATTTTTAAAAATATAACTCATGTCAGCTATATAATTTAATTGTTTCCTTTCAGTAATATATTTATAAAGTTCAGGTTATGTATAAATTGTTCCTGTTCAGGTTTATTTATAGATGGTTTCCTGTTCAGGTTTATATATTAATGGTTCCTGTTCAGGTTTATATATAAATGGTTTCTTGTTCAGGTTTATATATAAATGGTTTCTGTTCAGGTTTTTATATAAATGGTTTATTGTTCAGGTTTATATATAAATGGTTTCTGTTCAGGTTTATATATAAATGGTTTCTGTTCAGGTTTATATATTAATTATTCCTATTCAGGTTTTTGTATACATTTTTCCTGTTCAGGTTTAGATTTAGATTGTTTCATGTTCAAGTTTATACTTAAATGATTCCTGTTCATGATTATATCTTAATAGTTTCTGTTCAGGTTTATGAACCACAGCTGTGATCCGAACTGTATAACCCAGAAGTGGAGTGTGAATGGAGATACAAGGGTTGGACTCTTCACAATCAAGGTTGGAAGAGTAGATAATCTCCCAGCGAGAAGACAATGCGCTTAACTCATTTAGTTCTCAACTTCATTCATTCAAGATAAATAAATCATGTTGACTGCTTCATAAGAATCTCGATAGATAAATTGATGATTATTTATTTTTTTTCTAACTTGAACTGGTTTAAAACTTCTCCTTTGAATGTTGATTTATCAAAACTACGAAAATTTAAATCTATCATGAATTTAGGATGTAAAGGTTGGTGAGGAGTTGACCTTCAACTACCAGCTGGAGAGTGTGGGAGATGTTAAGAAGAAATGTTTGTGTGGAGCTGCAAACTGTTCTGGTGAATATTTATGCAATATGTAACTTAACAACATCTTATTTCTTTTCTTGTGGCTAAGGATCCATTCAAGTTTCCTAATAAGTAGTTCCTTCTTTATTTTACCTGGTTGTCTATCAATAAAATAAGATAAAACTAGGGTTTGCCATCTTATTGATGATGCATTTTCAAACATTTTTTGGGCTTTCAGTTGTCTGAAAAAAACTCTTAGCGGTCAAACATGCATTAAATGTATTTCTTCAATTTTGCTTTTTTTCATTAAATTGATTTTCATAAATTGCAACCTATGGAATATATTTAACAATAAATGTATTTCATTAGTTGAAAATATTCTCATTATTTGATCTTTAATGTCTTGTCTAGGATTTATCGGTGAGAAACCTAAGAATGAGAAAGAAGACAATAAAAGAAAGGAACAGGAACAAAAAAAGAATAACAAGAAAGCTTTGAAGAAGCTAAAGAAGAAAGAGGAACAGAAAATAAGAAAAGATAACAATGCAAAGATTTGGGAATCCACCTGTTTCAGGTATGAAACTTAAACCTCTCTTTTCCATTTATTGTTTTGATTTACAATTGTTTGTTCAGGTGTCATGAAAGTGGTAGTTTGATCCAGTGTGAGATGGGGTTGTGTCCTAAATCCTATCATCTCTCCTGTATTGGAAAGGAAACCTTCCCTCGGGGTAAATGGCATTGTCCCTGGCACTATTGTATAGATTGTGGTAAGCTGGTGGAAGGACAGAATGCCTGGTGTATTCATTGCCCTAATGCTTACTGCAGGTAATAACAGACATATTTTATCATGGATTTAAACCTTTTCGGAACGTTTTGATATTATATGATCATGCATGCGATTGGAATATGTAGTTTTTTATTGGAACCGTATTAAATGTTTTTACCATAGATTTAAACTTGTTCGGAATAATCAAAAAAAATATATGTTATTAAATCAAGCATGCAAAATAGTTACTGTATTGAAATACGTAGTTCTGAAATAGAACAAACTTCATCCTGTATTTTCACTCTGATTCAAGATTAATGTTTATAGTACTAGAAATTCAAGGCGCTTCGCTCCCTTCTTTCTAGGCTTTTAGGGCGCTTCGCGCCCATCTTCTATTTAAATTGTGAACATGTTCTTATACATTTTAAAAAAGAAGAAAAAAATTTTGCGGATTTAAAAAAAAATTCGCGGATTTTAAAAAATTTAAATTTTTACAAAATTAAAAACCTTTAAAACACATTTTTTAATTTTTATCATTCATAAACCTTCCCTGTGGTCACGTGATGTCCCACAAAAAATTTGGGCCCGATCGGTTCAGCCGTTTTGACGTTTATTGGATCCAAACAAACAGACAGACAAGCCAAATTTATATAGATTTGAATTATATATAGATTTGAATACTCCAACCTAGCTGCGCTTCACGTGCCAATACATGTTTTGTGTGAAAAATTGAAAATTATTTCTAAAATATTTATTTAAATATATATTTTTCTCTTAAGGCAACACCGTGATTCCTTGGTTCAGCATCCAGAGCTGAGTTGGATCTGTAGAGAACACGGAGATGAAATGGAGTTCCTTATCGAAACTCTCAGGTCAGTCAGAACATACATAAAATACATAGTAAGAGAATGTCATTATTAGCTACTTTTGTCTAGGTCGGTGATTTTATTGCCAGCAATGTAAAAAATGTCATAATTCTTCGACACATAATCATGCAATGTTTTTAAGAATCCACGAAATGTAGAAAATGTCATTTTAGAAACTTTATTAATATCACCTTTTTCAGAATGTTTATGATCAGTGTAAAGTTTTTTTTTAGAATGTCACGCTTTATCAACTATCAACTTGTGGAAATGTTAGTTTTATCTTGTCAAGAATGTCATGAATTAGATTAATAATTTTTAATGAATCAACAGGAGTGGCGGAGGTATAGCAGAAATATTTCCAAGTCCTAACCCAACCCTGAAACAAATATCAGCCTGGAAAAGGGCCCGTGGAATTTCAGAGGTGAGATTACAAGAACAGATTACAATACTCTCAATTTGTTCTGGATAATNGGGGCTTGGCTCTTATAGCATACCCTCATGTATAATCTTTAGGTTTTTTTACTTTCAATTTCTACTCAGAAAGCTTTTTATGCCTTTAAAAGTCTGACATTTTTGTTTCAAGATTTATTAGTTTTATAAGTTTCCTTATCCATCAATTATATGTTATTATTATAATCAAACCTTTTTTTGTGAATTGTTCCTTTCAAGTTTCTTTTTTAGTTTGTTGCTGAGGTTACACCAGTTTCAGAGTGTATTGAGAGTAAAGGGAAGCGTGGGAAATCAAGATTCTCTCTTGCTCCAGGTTTGGTGTTGAACGTTAAAGTTGATTGTTTTGTGATTTTTAACCGGGGTTTTCATAGAAGTTTATTGTATGAAACTCATGGCACTGCCTGTGAAATTAATTTTTATAGACTGAGACCCAGTAAACACTTGAATTTTTTCTAGTTTTCTTTTTTCTTTAATTATGAAATGTCTCGAAGGATCTTGTATTTTTGTAACTAAACATTAGATGCAAGTGCCCTGAACAATTTAGTTATAAATCACTTGCAACAAAAGCAAATTACGAAATCCTTAGCGATATTACTTGAGTAAGAGGACATTCATTCCACAGTTTCTTGGTTCTTTCTGTACTAAAGATCGAAGCATTTGACTTGCATTGTAGGATTTAGTAAATACTCAGGGGAAACCAAAATTCATTCTTAAGACTAATTTATAATATGTATACTCTAGAAAGTGGAACTGATACAAGCAGAAGTGAGAGTAGGGAAGTTTCCGTTTCCAGAGAACTGCAGAGTAGAAGTGAAACTCCTTCTACTCTCTCTACAGGTAAAGTTTGAGGCTTTCTTGGATGCTGAAAACCCGAAATTAGTCAGCACCTCATAACTTTGTAGTGAAGACTTTCTTAAGCTTTACTTTTATCATGATCCTCTTTGCTGCTGCGAACATATCCGCTCTAGTTCATGGGTTATGTGATTGCAAGATTAAACACTAGCCTAGAGTTTTAATCACTTGGATATTTATGTTCTAATAACCTCCTTGTATCTCAAACCTCGGTAGAATTTAATTCATTGTGTTATGTGTATTATGCAGATATCACCTCATTTAGCTATTGTAGCTCGTGTGTATTGTTAAATGATTGCAGGTAGTTCATCAGTTAGTAGTTCCCGTCCCAGTACCCCTGTAGACCCTGAGATAAAGCCTGGAAAATCCAAACCTAAATCTGAACAGAGAAGACCCGGAAACCTGCTGGAGCAGGCAACTAGTAAACTGGTTGCGCTAACTGACCAGACCAGGATACAGAAGAAACCCAGGAATATTGAGGAAGGTGAAGTTGAAAGTAGTGGTACTCCTGGTACTCCTGACTGTGTGGTTGATATGGAACCGGAGACAGGTTCCGGAGATACGGAAGAGAGTAGAACCAAGTCCAATAAATCTGATTATGGAAACCGTAGAAAAAGTAGATCTGAATATCTTGGTAAATCTTCCTCCCAGAAAGCATCATCAACACCAACCCGAGGTTCCAAGATTCACTCTGGTTCTTCAAGTCAAGTTTCAAGAACAGGATCTATTGTAGCTAGATCTCAATCATCAAGATTATCCAGATCAAGATCTCAGGTTTCAACCCCTAGTATTGAATCTGTAAACAATAGTTTCTCCAATACCCCAGACTCAAGAACGCAGTCCTCTAGACCTTCTAGATCTAAAACTGCCCTTCCAACCACTAGTCTTGAATCTGCAACCCATGAGACTGGAAGTGAGGACAGATCCTTGTCCTCGAGATTACCAAGATCTAAAACATCGACTAATCTTGTGGAAAGTCCTTCTAAAAGACCAATTTCAAGCACACATGTCGAGTCAAGTACTTTAAAGACTCCAGAGGCAAGAGCAGGGGATAGATCTTCACTATCAAAAACTCCAATCACGAAATCAAATGTTACTACTCCTACGTTAAGAACTCCTGACACAAGAGCAAAGCAAGCTTCTTCTGGAACCAAAACCTCTGAACAAAAAGATATGAAGGAATCCTCTGTAAGAACTCCAAATCCAAGGCCCGAAAAAAGCTTAAGAACTCCCGAACTATGCGCCGAGAAAAGATCTTCTATCACGAGATCTGTTGCAATGAAAACTCCTGAAACTAGAGTCGATGCAAGGTCCCCCAAAACCGAAACTGGAGAAAAAACCCCGGCCAAGGAACCAAATGCTGGTCTCACTGCTCTCTCTGCTAGTCCCGAGTTATCTACACATCTAAGTATGCGATCAAGAGATAATTCATCAACAGCTACTGTATCCATTCAACCCTCGCAATCATCTGCAATTCCTTCAGATATTAAACAGGTAATGATTCTACAAATTTTAATTATTTTTAAAGAATTTGTTGTTTCTGAATATAAAAACGTTTAGGAGATAAGTGTTGTTTGGAAATGTTTTGAACCTAATTGTAAATATCTTGGCACTGACGAACTTCACAAAATGCAAAATCATCTCAGGTAATTTGTCTCTATACAAACAATTGTTAACTTTCCCGTTTTTTAAAGCTATTTCTTCTCTGTTTCCTTTTTCAGTATTTTATATGCAGAAAGTGTTTTTTACTTGAGAAGAAAACAATTTCTTTTCAAGTTGTAAGGGCCTTAAAATTATTAGATTCTAGTAGTGGTAAAGGGACTGTGAATAGAAGTTTAAATAGCCTTTAGTTTAAAGCGTTGCAAGTCCGAACAGACAACGGAACCCTTAAAGCCTGTAATTAGATTAAAATGTGGTAGAAAGCGTTGTTTTTCTGTCTGAAAGGTATAGAAATTCTCAAGTTCTTTCCTGTTTTAGTTTCCATGGTCTAGAGATAGAAAGAATTCATGAATTATCAGGGAATCTACTCAGTATCAATGCAAACCTAAGGTAATATAAATATAGACTGTTTTTTCGAGGCGGGATTGTTTTGATATTTGTTAATGCTAGTTGTGTCTTAGCTTCATCTTGGAGATTGAAATTGAACCTCCAACCTATATGAAGACTGCCTCAAGCAGTCCCTGTATTAAGCAATTTGATCAGTTTGGCTTGACTTTTAATGTTCTTATTGTTATGGGGTTAATTTAATTTTTAGATTCAAGCATATGTTTGCGGTATTAATGATATATTTAATATGATTAAATAAATTCATGATTTAGTAATTTGCGCCATGGTCTTGAAGTTTGCAAGGATGACGTCCTAAATCATCCAATTTAATTTAAGTTTGGAGTTTCCTAAAGTGTTATTAATAACTTACATTCAGAGTTAAACAAAAGAACACGCCCTATGCGAGTTTAAATCAGGCTTTATTGAACAGTGAACACGTTTGATAAAATGGAAGAACTGATCAATGTAAATTGTCTTGGGACCAAAATAAATAAATAAATAAATACAACTTGGTTCACAATAGAATGGCCTCGAGGACGTTGTACAAGAACTCTGTTGGAACAGTTATAGGAGCCGGACCTCAGACTTACGTTGCACCTCCTCAGGTCGGTTCAATTCCATTTTCAGAGTAGTATCCATAGAGATATTCATGTTTTGTATTGTTTTCCCCCTAGACCATGGTATGGGTGGGTCAATCAGCCAAATAAATAGGATTAAAATTTGTTTTCTATTCGTTCCTCTCTTGAGAATAGGATGATCTAGAGATTATTTTTCGGGAAGTCCTTGCAGATTTCCTTGAAGGACCCACCTATCCAAAGTTAATTGCCCTAAGTCTAGGCGACGTTACTGTCGTGCCAATAATGTTAGTTTTGTTAAATACTATATTGACACAGAATATGTTGTGATTAGGATACTGTACACGGATACACTGAATACGAATGTCTGGGTGCTGGGGAATGCAAGATGAGTTTCTCTACAGAATCTTCTCTACTTCAACATTGTAGAAATGTACACAGTTCTATCTTTACAACAGGACAGGCGGGAACCTCTCAATTAGAGAAGATTGGTGGAGGATACAAGTGCCTAATGAAGGATTGCAGCAGGTAGGTGTATCGTGTTTAATATATATCCATTTTTGATAAGGCTTAGTATCTGTTTTGTTGAAACAGCTGAACTATCTTTATAAAGATTTTATGTGGGACCTGTCATGGTTTTGTTTGGTTTAAATTCTTAATTGATACTCTTAATAATTGTAGCTCTAAATTAGAAAGAATAAATTTTGGCAGCGGCACAATGCACACAAATGGATAGACGCGAAAAAAGCCTTTAATAAAAGGTTTCTTAGTGTTTGACTCTCACCTCTGATGGCAGGTTGAGATCAAATCTTGATAATGTTTGCTTTAAGACCGGATCTTTTTTTTGGTTTAATCTTGACTACCTCAGAGCATCCCTCCTTCTTGGAATAAGATATTTCAGCATGGCGTCACATTCTTCATCCTGCTTCTAATTAGAGAGCTTTCTGGTGATTTCTTCTTGTACATTTCTTGAACAGTAATGGGATTTTTGAGTACAGTTGTACTTCCCAGAGCAGATAAGTCTAGACCAACCTTTTCATTAACATCTACAACTTTATAAACCCATTATAATCTTCTTTCAGTTTCTTGAGATTTGTAATTTGTTTACTTATCTGGTCGACTACCTCTGCTTCATCATCATCATATAAACTATCCAGCTTGGCACAGAGAGCATCATAATCATGAAGGTTGTGAACTGCATTCCTAGCTTCACCTGTCAGACATTCATTTCTGAGGATGTGGGACATCTGTTTCTTTTAATAATAGCCTGGTTCGACAATCATGTCTTGGAAATCTCGTTTGAAAGTGAACTTGGGAAAATCTATCTTTTTGTGTCTGAATGATTCCCTTTCTGATGCTTGATTTACTGCTTGGTGGAGAATTCTGAGTGGTTTTATTATAATCATATGATCTCAGTGTGAAAAGCCCCTCCCTGCACTTCCTCTCGGCCTGGGATTTCTTTTCAACAACTTTTGTAATATCCAGGTCCTCTGTACCACTCAGAATAACATCGTAGACTTTCATTATTTCTTTGTATCTGTCCTCCATGTAAGCAATCTCTGCTGAGAGAGCATCAGTATTTAGGGCTTCATCTGCATCTACCTTGTCTATGTATTCCTGAAGTAGTTTAAGGAATTCTTCTAGTTCAGCAGTAAACTTACTTCTAGTTTTTCTCTCTTCTACCTTCTTCAATTCCATGTCGTTGACAGACTCTTTTGTCATCTGTTGATCCATAAAGTTATCAACCAACTTCTCTGCAGATGTTGACACTTCTTTCATCGAATCATCACTCAGATCTAGCTTTGATTTGAGTGCGAACTGGATATGAATAAGTTTGAAATTAGAATAGGAACTCTTCAATTCTTCAAAGTATTTATCCACCATCCTGCTACGCTGGTTCTTGATGTAAGCCCACAGCTTCTTGTTTGCCGCCTTTATATTTTCAAGGTGAAGAGATCTTTAAATTTTATTTCTTCTACCGTTGTCATTTTTCCAGGTACACTAGTACTCTCTCGTTTTGTACTAGAACGTTTAAGGAGATATGTTTTATTGAGTTTCTTTTAGTTTCTTAAATTTAACACTTAGGACTACTCTTTCTTCTGATTTGACCCATAATCGTATCGAATTCTATTATTTTCTTTTAAAGGATCCAGCAGTGCAGCTTAAACTCCCTCCTCTTCAAAACCCATTGGATGTCTCACCCTGGAGCAGATTTCAAGGAACTAGCATACCTAGACCTGGAGTCAGGACGTATCCTGCATCTCGATGATATTTATCCATACTCAGGACAATGCTCTGTTTGCAGGAAAACATAATTTACTTTAATTTACATTATTCAAGAATCAAGAACAGTTTAAATACTTAACATTCTAAACATAACATTTGTTTTGAAATCGCTGGTTAAGAAGAAGTTCATTTTTAATCACAATTGCCATTGAAATTTCAAATAAAGGAATTGATTTCTGGCCTGAGACTTACACTTTCTAATCCGGATATCTTTGCAACCTGACGGTGTAAATCTTTCATATCTTAAATTTTTACTGATAAATCTAACCGATATTTTTTTAAAAATATACAAGACCAGCTACACTAAGTTGCAAAGATATGAGGATTAGAAAATTAGAGTTTGATCAGTTCCTTTGTTTATTAATTAATAATTATGCCAATTGCGCAGAGAAATCTGTATCAGCACTGTTTCAATGGCAGATGTAGGTCAACTTGTTGGACTTCACTGGAAGCTTGTTCATGGAGACCAAGCAGAGGACTGCTCATACAATGCTTTATCCTGTAAACAATCCCTTGATCTACCATCTCTACTTAGTCCTCAGCATAATCTTGCACAAGGAAATTTAGCAGCTGATATGGAGGATGTTATTGAGGATATGGATACCACAAAGGGTCTTGACCCAGCAACTTTCCTTGAGAGGAGTGAAGATGTTCTTGAAGATACATTGATCATCAAGGAGGAAATTACCGATCCAATCCTGTTCTCTGGACCCTTCAAGTGCAGATTCTCCAGCTGCAAACAGATCCTTGATGATGCTCAGGCAGTGTTTAGACACTGTACCGAGCAGCATTCTGGAGTCTCCATACAGAAGATGCAAGTCATGCATCTGGAGAGTAAAACAACCTTCCCTAATATTGCGCTTTACAAGTATGTGTTTGAGTGCAATTATGGAAGATGTAAATGGTTTACATACAGAAACTCGTCATTTGAGGACGCCGAGGCTTTGCTGAAGAACCATTGGAAAAGGTAGAAATTAGAAATATTGCATAAACATGGATTTACATTTTTACTGGGGGGGAGGGGGGGGGGGGCAAAAGAACTGTTTTTAGATGTATAACAATATTTCTTTCTAGGAAGCACAAGAAAGCCAGTAATGAGGATTACAGTTTCAACAACCTTTCCCTGGAACACAGCCAGGACTGTGTTCCAGCTTCTGTAGATGTTGAGCTGACACTACAGAAGAACCTTGGACCACTATATGAAGGACCATTTGAGTGTACTGCGCTCAACTGCAAGTTCACTACTAACACTCCTAAGGTATGTTAAGCAGCACAAGAAGTCAGTTAGGATGTAAATACCACAAACTTAAAACAAAATATCTGAATTTATAAACAAAGAATATCTGATCTGATGCTTAGTTGTTAATTATTTTCAGTCTTTTGGGCGCCATTGGAACTTTAATCATCCTGAGAATCCCGCTACTGCTGCTTTTGTTGATGCCGCGTCAGGAAACATCGTTACTCTCTTCGATATGTTTGTAGCTGTAATGCAGTGCAAGGTAATTTTATATGATAAGTAGTAATATCTGTTTGTTAGTTTGGATCTGCGAACATAAATCATGAATCCCTGGATCGAATTGCCTCAAATTTTGATTCGGTAAACCCCGGAAATGTTCTTAGCCTGGTTTAAAAATTCAAAGTTACGTGGGTTGACTTTATAGAGAAGTTTTTGTTCCCAGGCAAAAGTGGGTTCCCAAGCTAATATGTTATATTTCTTAGACATCCATGTTTTAGTTTTTCTGTAAATCAACGTAATGTATTTATATTTATTGATTCATCACATAAACATCATCGTCATCATCATTGTCATCATAATTAACACCATTCATTACTTGAATTTTTATATGAGATCTAAAACTACTTATTATTAGATATGCAAAGTTATTTCTACAGCGTCAGATGGAGCAGGGCATGCAATAGAAGGGAAATAAATATATTCATTCTGGATTTTGGTTTGATTTCAAACATTTAGCAATTGTCTTCAATATTTATGAATCAACAAATACTTCAAATATATTATTTTAATTATTTTTTTTACTGAGTTTATTTATTTTGAATTGTAAAATATTGAGATATGAATATATTTTGATTTGAAGGAATTGGAAAACATATTAATAATGTTCATCCTGGTGCCAATGTACAGGACAGTTATATTCCTCTCAAGGTAAATCAAGATATTGTTATATTCCTCTCAAGGTAAATCAAGATATTGTTATATTCCTCTCAAGGTAAATCAAGATATTGTTATATTCCTCGCAAGGTAAATCAAGATATTGTTATATTCCTCGCAAGGTAAATCAAGATATTGTTATATTCCTCTCAAGGTAAATCAAAATATTGTTATATTCCTCTCAAGGTAAATCAAGATATTGTTATATTCCTCTCAAGGTAAATCAAGATATTGTTATATTTCTCTCAAGGTAAATCAAGATATTGTTATATTCCTCTCAAGGTAAATCAAGATATTGTTATATTCCTCGCAAGGTAAATCAAGATATTGTTATGTTCCTCTCAAGGTAAATCAAGAGATTGTTATATTCCTCTCAAGGTAAATCAAGATATTGTTATATTCCTCTCAAGGTAAATCAAGATATTGTTATATTCCTCTCAAGGTAAATCAAGATATTGTTGTAGGGATCTGGAATTTCTGGGATTATTTTTCAAACAGAAAGATTAAATGGGAACGTTTTTTTAGTCTCTTTCTCGCTTTCTTTAATTCTTATGACTCAATCGGCAAATCTCTCAGTCTGAAGATTTACTGATCGTATCGGGCTAATCTCCAAATCTTTGAAAGATATTAAATTTACTGGGTCGGGGGTATTGTTTAACTCAATAGAATCGATTTAAGACACATTCGGCTATTTAAAAGTTACAAGCTCTACTTTTTTTCCAATGACGTATTGAACAATCTTCTGCTGAAGTTTTTGTAACAATTTATCTTTGATTTCAGGACAAAGATGGTCTGCATTTAGAAACATTGGATAAAGCATGTAAAGAGGTCTCCTACCGGCTTGCAATATCTGAGGAACTACTCACATAACTAACAATAAGCAAATATTCTAAAATATTTTAGTTTTTTTTACAAAAAATGTTTTGATTGTTTAAAATGTGATGTTGTAATTAAAGGGTCTGATTAACAATGGTCGGATAATGGAGAACTATGTAGGACCCTATACTTGCTTAGCAGAGGGCTGTTCAGCACTTCCCATAAACAAGAAACACATTCTTAGGTAAACAGTCTTGTCTAGGCATGTATTGTTACATCAAATCTAGTTTTTTATTCAGAACGTTTAGTTAAATCACAACCCGTAAGACTTTAAAACTTCAAGCTAAACACTATTAATTTGATTAATTAAGGAGTTTTAGTTTTTAAAAGCAGAAAAGCAATATATATATATAGCATTGTAAAATCCTTTTTACGTGTTTTAGGCACTGGTATAAGGAGCATGGAGATTTCTCTAAGTTCCTTGTATCTGATGCAGGATCTGGGAACCCGACACCTTTAACCTGTCACGACCTGTTCAAGTGTCTAGCTGTGTGTCCGGATTGTAATCTCATGGTTGGGAACAACTTCAGCTACGAACAGCTGTACAGAGGACTCAAGCAGCATTGTATTATGCAACATAAAACAGAACCTATGGATTTTACTGTCCTGGTCCCTCAGGATAAACAGATCATTCAAGACGGTAGGATCTCAGCAAATATTTGACAAAGGGGGCCGGGGGAGTGGGGTTCTCTCAATTTTATCTTTAAACTTCGCTGCAAATTCAAGTTTTTGTTTTCTTTTTGGGTTTGAAAGCAAATTTGGGATACAGTTAGGTTAACTGAGATACTGACGATTATCTGTTATTTTAAACTGTTAATATCTACTAGAGATAATTTCAGTGAAGGATTACATACTGAGGATTATCTCTAATGAAACTTTGTTTATATATATCTACTAGAGATGGTTTAAGGATTAGATACTGAGGATTATCCTAAATTATACCATGTTTAGATCTATTAGAGAAAGGTGAAGGATTAGATACTGAGGATTATCTCGAATAAAACCATGTTTACATCTACTAGATATAGTTGAAGGATTAGATACTGGGGATTATCTCTAATTAGGCCATGTTTAGATCTACTAGATATAGTTGAAGGATTAGATACTGAGGATTATCTCGAATAAAACCATGTTTACATCTACTAGATATAGTTGAAGGATTAGATACTGAGGAATATGTCTAATCAAACCATGTTTAGATCTACTAGAGATACCTGAAGGGTTAGATACTGAGGATTATCTCGAATTAAACCCTGTTATCTACTAGATAAAGTTGAAGGATTAGATACTGAGGATTATCTCGTATTAAACCCTGTTTAGATCTACTAGATATAGTTGAAGGATTAGATACGAGGATTATCTCTAATCAAACCATGTTTAGATCTACTAGAAATAGTTGAAGGATTAGATACTGAGGATTATCTCTAATCAAACCATGTTTAGATCTACTAGAAATAGTTGAAGGATTAGATACTGAGGATTATCTCTAATCAAACCATGTTTAGATCTACTAGAAATAGTTGAAGGATTAGATACTGAGGATTATCTCTAATCAAACCATGTTTAGATCTACTAGAAATAGTTGAAGGATTAGATACTGAGGATTATCTTAAACAAACATGTTTAGATCTATTAGAGAAAGGTAAAGGATTAGATACTGAGGATTATCTCGAATTAAACCATGTTTAGATCTACTAGATATAGTTGAAGGATTAGATACTGAGGATTATTTCTCTACAATATATACTGGACCCTACCACTGTTTGAATGATGGCTGTGAATATGTCTGCAAGGTAAGAGATTTGTATTTATTAAATCAAATTTATAGTTTTTAAGAAAGAAAACAGACATGCAGAGTGCAGATTGTAGAATGAATTTTAAATTTAAAATTTACGAATCGAAGTATAACTTCCTTGTATAAACTATATTGCTGATTCATCGTCAATGATTCACATAAACGATGAATAAATTTTTAAATATCGAAGAATAATAAAGAATAATGATAAATGTATGTGAATATCTAGTCTGAGGATAAGAAGCAGATTGGTGTTATCTTGACAGATCACTGGCAGAATATTCATGGTTCTCCTACTCATATGCTCTACTATGCAGAAACCAGTAGAGCTGTTCTTAATGCCAAGGTATGTTTTCTAAATCAAATATACGTTTTAACGAAAGATCAAAACGTTTTTTTCTTTTAACCTACATGGCAATATCTCATCTTGGTATTCTTATTTCTAAATGTCAATGTTAGTTTTAAAGATTTATCTAAAAAAAACTTATTTCCATGTCAGTCTTTTTAATTTTAAATCATGGAATATTCGAGTTTAAGGCTGGTTTAAAGCTTGCAAAGTACACACAAGTTAAAAAACTAGCCACTTGAGATTTTACATATTCTGAAAACAGTTGTTGATGTAGGTTTTTTGAAATCCTTGTTCAACACTTTGTGGTAAATTTCCAGTTTAACTTTGTTGTGTTATTTTGACTTACAACAGGCGTTTGACTTAAGAGTTATTTGAAAAATGTTAGAAACATTCAACCTCTTCTGGTTATTTATTATATATTCAATATTAATTTGAGAAATTCCTCAACAAAATATGTGATTTAAAAACTCTGAAGTGTTTTGATAAATTAATATCTCAGGTTATCTGTGTTCACCTAGCTCAGTGTAGAGTAGAGGGGTGCGGGAAATATTTCCCGAGTGTATTCTCCAAACATCTACAGATGCGGGTCAGCTTACACTGGTCACGCTCTCATCGGCTTACAGACGAGGAAATACATGATTTATATTGTTATTATCCTTTTCTAAGTTTAAGCAGGAAAGTTTGTTGTTAAAAATAGACTTCATTGATTTTCTAAAGGTTGATAATGATCTCCGTTGTTTCATAAAATATTTGAACTGGATGAAAGTTTTAACATAGAATTAAACCGGGTTTTGTCTGGCAAATGAGTTCGGCTCTTCCTTGCTTTGCAAGTTATTTTGAGAATTGTTGCAGATTTGGTTTCACCAATTGTTAGAAGTGACATTATATCAGAACAAAAATTGTATTGATCAAATCCTTTAAGGTCTTATTCCTATTTTTTCAAAACGATAAATTTAATCTGTTCGTCCTAAATCATGTTTGGTTGATGCAGGAGAAGAAGAACAAGGATAAATTAATTCAACATATTAGTATACAAAGCAAGATAAAGAGATCAGGGATCAAGGACAGGGTAGAGATGATTGTTCAGAATCTCACGAACAAGGTTAGTAAACAATTTGGTGACAGGAAACTACAGAATTTAGTTTACAAGGTAAAAAGAAATGAATTTGGTATACTAGTAAGACGCATCATGATCGTTTCCACGGTTTTTTAGATATTGATTTGTATAATTAACTTCAAAAATATTTAAACCAACCTTTTTAGTTATTTTTAAACAACGCTGAGATTTTAAAATAACTTTTCTTACTGCATTAAGGAGAGGTTTGAAGTTTGGGCTACTGTCATTGGAACTAATGATCTTATAAACTATTGAATTTTTGAACAAAATGCTAATTTTTATTACTGACATGATGTTATTTCCTGTAGTTCAAATCAAAACATTTTTTGTTAATTTGAACCCCTTTTATATTCATTTTATTTGGGCAATTAATTTTCTGGATGTATGTGGGAAAACATATTTCAAATATGCACTCTGGCCTCATATCTTCTGTTTTTACTAATATTCAATACTATACTTCAAAGCTTGAAAGAACATGTGTCATTCATAGTTTAAATGATCGTGTGGTCAAGAGTATCTTCATAGCACATACTTTCCATTGGAAGATAAACAATCTTCTTCTAAATGATATTCCTGACGGTGTTTATAAGGTCTGGGTCACGTGTCAGCTGAGTAGGTCGACTTTTGTAGGTCTTCTTCAAATTTTACGTCTCTCAACTTAATGTTATTATCAAGGAGGGGTACTGAGGGGAGGATACGGGAATACGGGACAAATAGAAGTAAACCCGTGATGTAGAGAAAGTAATTAGCGGTAGAATGTGACAAAATTGGGAACCCATGTTATTGTATTTACATCATACTTTTTTGCAGGAACGGAGCAAGAATTCTAACCCAGTAACTCCAAGACTAGAGAAATCTAATACGAAGTCAAAACCTGCACCAGGACCATCAAAAACTATAATCCCATCTAAACCTCATCCATCCACATCTAAACCTGATCCTAAACCTTCATCTTCTCATCTTATTCAATCTATCGAACCGAGTCCTGCTCAAGAATTGTTTTTGGAGGTAATATTCTTTTCGACGTTGGTTAGGCATCGTTTAGGTTCCGTCATCAAGTTTTTTTTTTAAGAGGCTTCATAGAAAGTTTGTACTTTTTATTAGAATTTGAAATTGAATAATTTAGTTTTCATTTGCAAAAGTTTGTTTTTAAATAAGACTATGAAACTTTAACTTTAGTTAAAGACAAAATACCCAAACTGGGTTTCCGTTCAGATCTTCAGTAATAATTGTCATTGCTAAATGATCAGAGCTGAAAACTTTAGAATGGTGACTATCGGGATTAATGCTTAATCCACTCTTTTTCTTAATCTCGAGATCAAATATTGCTTTTTCTCCTCATGAATTTAATCTCCAGATTAATTATCCGATCAGGGTTAAGGATATCCCATTCAAAAGTTTTCAGCTCAGAGTAAATAGTTGTAAGAAAAACAAACTTGATGAGTTTATATTTAGATAAATGAAATTTTATTTTAAAAATATGTATATAAATTATAATTAGTAAGAAAGGAATGACCTACTCACTTCAATATGTTTTTATCTAACAGAAAAGGTCAATATTACAGTTTCAAAAGCCCAGATGGATAATTTTAATCCTACCCCTGTGTCTAGAATGATGATGAGGAAGAACGGGAAGAAGATTATAACGGTTACGATGGTCCTTTTGAGTGTGTGAAGTGTAAGTACCGTGTTCAACTCAACGCTGTTTCAAATAAAAATGTCATTCAACACTGGTCTACTAAACATGGTTTCCCTGCAGCTCTCAAGTTCCTTGATATTCCGACTCAGGATATTCTCAGTTTAGAAAACTTCTTCTCCTTCTGTCTACAGGTAAAAAATAAAACAAAATTTGCTACTTGAAATTTTGAATTGGTTCGTGTGTTACAAATTCAGCTAAAATCAATCAATCAATATTGGTAATTTTGACAATTCTATACAGGATTGTTAATGAGATAGACCTGTCTAGGTGACTGCTGGTTGGACAATTACGCCAGACATTTCCCTTAACCTGTATATTGTAGGCACACACTAGACTTGTGTCCTTCGCCAATAGATACAAATTAATGTCCGTCCTTAGGCGGGTATTTTTAATGGCGGTTTGGCCTAGATTTATACAGAATAAATGCTGACTGATTTTAATTTGTATTTTTATTATTTGGTATTAATTCTTTCTTGGTGTATCTTTTAAGCACTTAAAAAAAAACATTATTAACGGACCTAAAATGTTGAGGGTATAAACCAGCCTTGTCACGCTGGATGCAACGTAGACAATATATCACATGAAAACCTCTTCAATCTATGAAATTATAGTTATATAATTAAACGTTTTATATTCAGTGTACTAGTGTTGGATGCAACTATATTGTCGCAAGTAACCACAGTCTCTACAAGGGTAGATTTAAGATGAAGCAACATTTCAAAAAGGAAGAGAGTTACCATCAAAATTCTAGATTTAGATGTTTTCAAGTCCCTGATTTTACTAAAGCTAATTGAGTACAAAATGATTTTATAAATGCAACATATAAACGTTGCATGATCGTAAAATTAGTTTTCTTTATTAAGATGTTTCGTGTCATGTATTAAAATAAAATTAGATCAACTATGCAAAATAATCATACTGTCAATTACTTTCTATGTTAGAAGGTGATTCCAAGCATCACGGAACTGTACAAAATGTCCGACAGAACATGTTTTCATAAATATTTGAATATGTTAAACTCTTGTTGGATCAGGATCATGCTGACAGTATTCCTGATAAAACAGATGATATGTATATAGTGATGGCAGGAGAAGATGTTCTATCTGATATCTCTTGTCCAGAAGTCGTAGATCCTTCAATGGTAAATATAGTAATTACAAGTTTAAAGGAAAATTTCACTGATAAAACAGACCTGGAAACATATATATATATATATATAGCTAGGTATACAAGGGAACTTTATATATATATCTAGGTATATAAGGGAAATATATTTATATATATATCTAGGTATACAAGGGAAATATATTTATATATAGCTAGGTATATAAGGGAAATATATTTATATATATCTAGGTATATAAGGGAAATATATTTGTATATATCTAGGTATACAAGGGAACTATATTTATATATATCTAGGTGTACAAGGTAAATATATTTATACATATCTAGGTATACAAGGGAAATATATTTATATATATCTAGGTATACAAGGGAAATATATTTATATATATCTAGGTACACAAGTGAAATATATTTATATATAGCTAGGTATACAAGGGATATACAAGGGAAATATATTTATATATATCTAGGTATACAAGGGAAATATATATATATATATATCTAGGTATACAAGGGAAGTATATTTATTTATATCTAGGTATACAAGGGAACTACATTTATATATATCTAGATATACAAGGGAAATATATTTATATATATCTAGGTATATAAGGGAAATATATTTCTATATATCTAGGTATACAAGGGAACTAGATATATATATATATCTAGGTATACAAGGTAAATATATATATATCTAGGTATACAAGGGAACTAGATATATATATATATCTAGGTATACAAGGGAAATATATTTCTAGGTATACAAGGGAAATATATTTATATATATCTAGGTATACAAGGGAACTATATATATATCTAGGTATGCAAGGGAAATATATTTCGAAGACTCCGCTATGATTTAATTGAAACCTATAAAATTATTCACGGTGTTAACAATGTTGATAAATGTATTTGGTTTTCAATGTTAGCAGATACATCCAATAGGATTACAAGAATGTCAGAAAATCCTCTTTCACTTAGTGCCAAATTTTGTAGAACCGATATTCGTAAACATTTTTTAGCCAAAGACTTGTTTCTCCATGGAATGATTTACCCTGTGATATAAAAACTGCACCAACGTTAAATACTTTTAAATCCAAATATGATAAATATGTAAAAATTTCTAATCTAGTTTCTTTTGTTGGGACAAAAAAAAGCCAAAAAAATATTACTTTAAAAGAAAACAGAAAGGCTAAATAAGAAAGAAAAAATAATCCAAGGAAAATTAAAAAATAACATGTCGAAAAATAATTAAGAAGAAAAAATGTCAAGGAATAGAAAAAATAAAAACTCTTCCAAAAAAACAGAAATTAATATCCCTTATTTTTAATCTTGATTCACTGGATATTTGTAATTATTAAATATATAATATACTCTGTATATTAAAGTGATATATACCCTTATGAACATCATGATAACAATCGGAAATTTTCTTATATACTCCGCCAGGAGTCCTGAAAATAATACATAAACATAAACATATATATATATATATCTAGGTATACAAGGGACCCTGGTCCTGCAGAATAAAAGGCTGTGATCTTAAGCTCGCGAGTCAGAACAGCTGGAAGATGAAGCTGCTCAACCACTTCATCCTGGAACACGACGAGCTCTTCATCGGAGATTTCAAAGTTCGTGATGAAGGGCTGAAAAGGGATTTAAATATTCAGCATGTGTTCAAGTTTGTCGGGCAGTGCAACGTTGATGGTTGTTTTATGATACGAGGTGTTGGAGGAAGAAACGAAAACGATGGAAGGTGTGAAGACATTAAACAATTATAATATATTTTTATCGAAGATACACTTATTGATACACACAGATCTTTTCACAACGTAACCCTTTGATGCTTTGTCAAGATTAAGAATCCATGAGATATCTATCTTCTCTTAAAAAATGTATTATTTTAATTTTGGTTCTTTTTAAAGTGCATTTCTGCTTTTTAAAAAATGGAAGAAAAAGGACGAATATCTTCTCTCTTATTGATCACATAAAGGGTATCATCAAAAATAGGACATTCCCTGTTTAAAATAAGGTCACTTGAAATAACAAGCACAGTTAACATTTAGTTTTTTTACAGATATGAATTAAAGCGTCGGTTTGCGGCTCATTTCAACTCCGAGCATCCAACTTTAGTTCCGGACTTTACTGTCCTAGTGCACAACCATCAGGTTCTGTTCTACAAGGACCAGGAGGACGGGTCCACTAGGGTCCTACCTGTACCTGTACCACCACCTAAGGAGAACCTCAAGACTGAGGTCAAAGTAGAACCGGAGAACATGGAAACTGAAGAAGATTTGAAGGAGAAAGAGAAGGAAAAGGAGAGAGAAAGAGAAAGAGACAGAGACAGAGACAGAGACATTGAGAAGGAGAAGGCGAGGGAGAAAAAAGATAAAAGAAGGTAAAATGTAATTATTAATAATCACGAGTATTCCATCTTAATACAGAATCAAGGAAAATTGAACAGTTCGTAGATTAGATATTAATTAATCAAGGGTAATTATTAGATCTGCTGCACCACTTGAAACTACACAAAAAGAAGCATCAAAGCGGCGAAGAACAATTGCCTCTACATGTGAAATAACATCTCCCTCCACCCTCAGTACACCTCAGACTATAACAACGGTTAAACCAAAGGCAGGGAAAGGGGCTCCGATGTTTCAGTGTGAGGTGTGTCGGGCTGATGTCTCCAAGGATGATTTTATTGAACATGTGGTTCAGGTTCATCCCTCTCTAGATCCTACAGGTTGCAGAGTACTTAGGTTAGTAGCATCTATAGGATCTAATTGTTTCTAGTTATTGTACAGATTTATAAAAGTACTCAGAATCCGGATTCGCTGGACCGCACGTAATCAGCTTCCTTGATCCGGATTCTTTTCTAGCACTCAGCATTTTGTAATGTTCATTATTTGTTCGTTAAGGTTGAACGATGAAAAGTTTCTGAACATAAAGGAATTTCTTGGATCTGTTTACAGGTTGGATTGATTTATAAGACTAGACTTCATTAATTTATTATGACGTGTCTGCGACCTCAGGTCGCTCCCCTTTATATAAATTGTAAAAGATTATGATCTGACTGTTAGCAAAGCATGGTACAATGGTTTATGACTGTTCATGTTCAAGTAGAAGCTTACACTGCCGTGGAATGTAGACTGAGTTAACATTATTTTAGCTTACATTAATGATTAAGGACTAATAGAGGGATAGGGTCATTCAAGATTTACTACTGACGAATTATGATATCTGTGGAAAAAGTTTTAATTGAAAACAAAACAAAGTAAAATAGAGTGGACCTGGGCAATCATTGTTATCTAACTGTTGTTTGTTTACAATAAATAACTAGTTTTAATTTAAAACAAAACAAAGTAAAATAGAGTGGACATGGGCAATCATTTTTATCTAACTGTTGTTTGTTTACAATAAATAACTAGTTTTAATTTAAACAAAACAAAGTAAAATAGAGTGGACATGGGCAATCATTGTTATCTAACTGTTGTTTGTTTACAATCAATCTAGTTCCTAACGACACAGTTGAAGGATTCGATAATCATGTAATAACATAATCACATTGTATTGTATGGTATTGTATTGTGTTGTATTGTATGGTGTTGTGTTGTGTTGTTTTTTATTGTAGGTGTGGAGTACTGGATTGTATTGTATTGTATTGTATTGTATTTTATTGTTTTGTATTGTATTGTAGGTGCGGAATACTTTATTGTATTGTATTGTATTTTATTTTATTGTATTGTATAGTATTGTATTGTATTGTATTGTATTGTAGGTGTGGAGTACTGGATTGTAACTATGTCAACTATGGGAAAGGAAATAACACTATAAGGTTAGATTCCATGACATGATTTCTACATATTTGGATGCAATATTAATCAGCATTTCTTCTCATTAACGAAAAACACACACAAAAAATCTTATAGAATACTCGAGATTCAGACAATATTTACGGGGTTTCCCGGATTAAATAATACGCTTCTTGGGAAGCTCGTTAATGTATAATGCAGCATGCACAAATTTCTGGAAATATTTTAAATCGCAAACCTTAAACATTGGCAATGGCATCCAATACGAGCTATGTATTTAATCCACTGACAATTTGTATTTTTAAATAATTAAAAACTTTTTTTCTTTAGGGACATGCATTTGCACTACCAAGCCCAGCATGGTACACTGTCTCCAACCTTGAAGATGATATCCCAACTTGGATATCAGTGTATTTACAACAACTGCTGGAATATTGCTAGAAGCAAAGACGACATGTTTAAACATCTTCTCACACATACGGAAATAGCAGCTACTCAAATACCCTTCAGGTTGAATAACATAACATTTTAAACTTTTGACATTGAGAGGGAGATAAAACCCGATTTATTGGTCAGATTTATTGAATAAAGAGAAGTAGTGGAATTAGTTATGGCTAACTAACCTACACTCCAGCTAAACTACAAAAGTAGTCAAACTTTTTCTACCTAGTTCAACTAGCTCTTGCTGTTCATTAAATCCGGTCTCTGAAAAAATTTAGCATCTTATTATCATTGGTTAATTAAAAAAGAAAATATATTTATTTATACCTCTCCAGGGATCTGGATACTCATGCTGACCTGTACATACATAACTTGTACAAGTATGTACGGGAGTGTGAAGCAAAATGTGGACAGATATTCTACGATGACAAGGTAATATTATGAGAATGCATTGTCAAGAACTTGAAACTACATTTCAGGATTTGTTTCAGTGCGCGGGATTGTGAAAATATTTTATTTGATAATTGTGTTTTTGAGGTGATGAGTAAACAAATTATTATTAAAATTTGGCATGCAGCAATGGTTTCTTGGTTTATTGTGGAATAAAATAATGAAAAATTGAAAGAATTGTTAAAAAATAATGTTGATACCAATTTTAAATTTTGAGGATTGAAACTAATGTGTGTTGGTTTCATGTGTCTTAACTTTTGACACACAATTTTCATCATTCTGTTATTAAATTTTTCTATTTCTATTTTCCACATCTCGATAAAAAAGTAAAAATCTCTGTTTGTATGTCCAATCATAACTCATGAACCTCTTGACCCAACATCCTCAAATTTTCATTTGGGAACTCGGTAGAACCACGGGTTTTCCTAGCTTGGAAAGTTAGTTTCCAAGCTAGTGCATAATCAGTAATATTTTCTATTTTAACTTGAATGCAGGATAAGAAGGGAGTAGATAAGGCTGCTGAAGATCATTGGAATGAATTGCACACTTTGATGCCAGTTCTACCTGATACAGCACCCACCTCAGAGAAATCAGGTTCGGGATACAAATCACATGTATTTAATGTATTTGTTTTTTTTGGAGATGAAACCTTAATTAAACTCGTCCTTTTCATATTTCCTCCAACTATTAAAAAACAACATGGTGGTCAATACCCCCCTCCCCCCCCCCTTCCGAATACACTGAATTGTACGAATTATACCATAAAACAATCGACATATCTATAATAAAGCTCTTCGCCTATGTTAGCCAAACGGCTCGACCGAATTGGCTGATTTTTTTAGGAAATCCATGCATGGATTTGAATAGTTTTAAATATATTATTTTTCAAACATACAAGTAAGGCTGAATGATTGATTTAACGGTCTTTATAAAATATATTAGCATAACATATTTATGAATAAGTGTGTATTGTGTTATTATCTACGTTTTTTTTATTTTTTAATATCTTTGTTTTTTACCTAGGGTTCCAGTGTTTTGCTGGGTATGGAGGAGAAGGTTCCAACTGTACTGTTATGGTTGGTTCTGGGAACACGAAGGGTGCTCTGGAACACTGGCAAGAGGAACATCAGAACCTTGTACTCCGAGATCTGATGTTTATGGATACTTTAAACCAGCATATACTGCAGATATCAGACATATTTCCTGTAGTTTACAGGTAGGGTAGCTTCCGTAGCTGACATGTTTTATCATTTAAAATTCGGTGATGGTGACGGACCAAACCTCTGTAGAGTAAAAAAGTAGATGTTATTTCCACATTTATTGACAATATATTTCGGTCTGGGTTGACCCTCGTCAGTTCATGAGATTGTTTCTTCACAAAGATTAAAAACAAACTATTTACCAAGGTATGAGAAAAAGATCAAACTTATTATTATTGGTACAACTTTGAGACATAACTTTTCTAGGTTTATTTTTAAGCCCAAGTGTGAGATAACTTTTATTTAGATGCATGACAGAAATTAAACAATGTCGTATTCTTTTAATAGAGCGCTTTGCGAGAGGAGTTATTATTTCAATCTGAAGTGTTTACTGTAACTTTATTTGTATTATTTAAGCTCCAGGATCAGCCTTTATCAAGTATGTTATATCTGGTTCTTTTCAAGCTTATATAAATAGTAAACGAAGAGAAGAACGAAAAGAAAGTCTGTTGTGTAAATTAGAAAAGTTGTCTAAAAGAAAACTATATAGTTGGTAAATTGTATATTAAAGAAGTTGTTTGTTCGGAAATTGTCGGGCCGGGAAGTTGTCTCTTATGAAATTGTATAATTTGGAAGTTGACCGTTAAGAAGTTGTGCACGTGAGAAGTTGCTTCTTGTTCATAATATCCTTAATTATACAGGTGTACTGCCCCTGGTTGTATGAAGACAGTATACTCGGAGCAGGAAAGAAAACTGAACCCTGAGATTGAAAGCATATTTAGAGAACATAGTTCAGTCAAACATCAAGCTCTACAATCTAAACAGAAGTAAGTGGTAACATTTAAAAGTAAAACAAAATTTGGTCAGATCACCACTTATATTACATAATTGAATGAATGATAAATAATTTCAATTAAAAAATTATGTTTTATGTTTCAATGATGATAAATTAATTTGTACTGAACCAAATTTAATGAATAGCATAGACGCACTTCAACCACTTATTGTGAATCAGTTTTTGAAGAGAAAAGGATTAATTTCAGACATTTAATTTCTCTACATTAAATTTTTTTTCTTAGACTTGACTTAAATCATTGATATTTGTTATAAAGGTTGTTCCGTGCACTGAAAACAACCAAGTTCTTGAGCCAAGGATTAGAGGTCGAGGAAGAACAAACTGTTCTCGAGGCTGCACAGAAGACCTCTACACCAGAGGAAGGAGTAGAACCTCCGACGGAGGCTATTCTAGGATATTCTTGTTCTATTACTGGTTGTGATAAAACTGTTTCTGTCTCTAACTCACAAGGTAATGTAAAAATGTTTTATGATTAAAAAGGAAAAAAGGAAAAAAAGATTAACTTTGAGAGTGACAGTAAGGATTTTAAAGTAGAATATTTGAGGGTTTTTTGCAAGCATAATTGGAAAGTTTTTTTTTCAATAAATTAATTTTGATTTTAAATAAACTATTCTTTTAAGATATATTTTAAACGTGTAATCAATGTGCAGGAAGTTCTGTTGCGATTGACAGATTAAAATCTCATTACAAGAATAAGCACTCACACTTGGAGTCTAATCTTTTCTCTTATAAACCAATATATGGCAATAGGTAACTATTTATTATCTATTTACTAAATTAATCTTACCAATAATCTGTTGTTAATACATACTTGATACTTGATACTTCTTGATACTTGATACTTGATACTTGATACTTGATACTTGATACTTGATACTTGATACTTGATACTTGATACTTGAATGATTTGATTTGATTTGATTTGATTTGATTTGATTTGATTTGATTTGATTTGATTTGATTTGATTTGATTTGATTTGATTTGATTTGACATGTATTTTCCAGGATGTAAAGAGAAAAAGTTGGATTCTATTACTCTTGATAAACATGTTCTAGAGGTACACAGTAAACACGAGGTTAGTAGGATCCAAGAACATAGCTACCATTTCTTCCTTCTTTCCTTTTCCTGGATATTTAAACTTAGCTTAGATGGCGTTTATAATCGGGGGGTGGGGGCAAAATTTATACCTGGAACTGGATTTCTATCCAAAACATAGGCTAGAATTTTATTGTTTTATAGGAAACTGCAGTACGCCCAGCCGAGGAGATGGTTGAGGAACCGATGGTTCCTGTAGGAAGGAGTACGAGCAAATCAAAGTAAATTATATTTTTAATCTGTAAATGTGAAAGAAGTAGTTATTTTAAAGCAAGTTTCAGATTGCAGTTATTTCGTAATTTATTTTTAATTGTTATTGGGGTCTGTCCTAGTATACGATTTTTGGACCCCCTCCCCCCCCCCTCCTATCTATTTTGTACATGACCATTTATTTTTCAGCAAATTTATTATTATTTATTTTTTTGTTATTTAGGGTTAGGTTAGGTTAAGATACTTTCTGGGTCGAGCGCTGCGGCTAGGATGGGCTATGGGGCCGAGCGCTGCGGCCACGGGTTAGGTTAGTTAAGACACTTTCTGGGCCGAGCGCTGCGGCTAGGATGGGCTAGGGGGCCGAGCGCTGCGGCCACGGGTTAGGTTAAGTTAAGAAACTTCCTGTCATACCCATGTACAAAATTGATAGGAGGGGGGGGGGGGGTCCAAAAATCGTATACTAGGAAATTACCTGTTATTGTAAAGGAGCTTATCTGGAGGATCAGCAGCAGGTAGAAGTAGGGTGTTCCCTACTGTAAGAAGGTCTTCAACTGGAGCTACTAGGACCTCATCTGAAGCTGGTAGGACTTCAGCGAAAAAAGGATGTACCGGAGCCACCAAGATACCAGCTGGGAACCAGCTAAGGTAGTCTTATGCTGAAATTTTGCTAAATTTGATATGCATAGTTGTAACTGTAATTATAATTGTAATTGTAATTCGAATGATTGTAATTGGTTGAAGATATTGCTAATTTTAATTTTCGTAAAGTTGTTGCTTATTTTAATTTGTTCAGAGACTGGCTGAATGTAATTTAAATTAAGATATTGCTAATTTTAATTTTCGTAAAATTGTTGCTTATTTTAATTTGTTCAGAGACTGGCTGAATGTAATTTAAATTAAGATATTGCTAATTTTAATTTTATGAAGATGTTGCTTATTTTAATTTGTATCAAGATGTAATTAATTTTTTTAACGCTAATATGTACCAACTGGAGATGTTAATAATTTTGAATTTGTATAAAGATGCTGCTATGAGGGTTGCGAATTTACAACACCAAGTAGACGAGATCTAGCGCAGCATAGACGAGAGGAGCGTCACAGTAAAATTTCTAGGTAAAAAAAACCCTGGGATTCATATGGTCAACATTTATTTGTTAATTTTTTCTTTTCTGAGACTGGTTTTCAGAGGAGAAATAATATATGAAATGATGAAGATGTTAAGGATTAGTCCTGTTCTGATCTAGGTTGACTAGTGATGAGGGTGGGGAGGAGAATGAGGAGACGGAGGAATATATTTGTAAACTCAAGAACTGTGGAGCTAGAGTTGTGGGACTCAGGTTTATATTTATACACGTTTATGCAATTCAAAAGGGTAAACGCAATGCGTGTATTTTTCACACCGGCTAAGGGGTGGGGTTGGGGGCACTGCATGTCGGCTTGTTATTTATATATGAAAAATGTGTATTAAGGCGGATTGAGGATCACTGTGAGAATATGCATCGAGATAGATTGGTGGAAGAATGGATCTACCAGGTCAAATACTTTATTTTATCCAAAGCATTAGATTGAAAACATGACAGTGCAAATGACAGCTTGACTGGGGGTAAATCCATCGTGTTGTTTGTTTGCCAAATTTTTAAAACTAGCTTATTAGGGCGCTTCGCGCCTTCATTTCTAGTAACAATCTTTACTTCTAGATATTGCTCTTTAGGTACCATTCTTTCTCTGTTCTCCAAAAAATTTAGGCTTTTTCTGTTTAAATTCCTGCATTTTCAAAATTAATAAATGTCGACATTTTTTTAAAACTATATTTTTCACATTTGGTTGTCCATACACTTTCCTGGATCAATTTTTGTCACGATCGGTTCAGCCATTCTGACGCTTATTGGATTAATATCTACATAACATAACGAACAATCCCAAGTGTATATAAAGTTTACGGAAATTCTCTATTAAAAACTTATTATCTATGTTTTAATTTTTACAATAATGTTTCAGAAGGTTGAGAAGTCTTCATGTACAGCATCTTCTTTAACTTTTGCATCTACTGCTGCAACCACAGCAACAAATTCTACTCCTAATTCAACGAGAAAGCGAAGGTATGAACATGAGCAGGTGGAGGAGAAGGCACCCCCTGAGAAGAGAAGGAAGGAAGTAAGGAGAACTGAAGATGGGACTAGGAAGGGACGGGATGATAAATCTGGATCCGTATTGAACTGTGACCTCGGAGGAAACTTTGATTACTCCAGCATTGATCTTAGTGGTGAGGAGAGCGATGATTTAGATATTAACTTCTATTGAAACTTGTTAAATATTTTTTCCATGAATTGAAAATTAATTCTTAACTGTGTAAAAATTGTTTTGAACATATTGACAGTAAAATAAATACTATAAGCACAGATTATTTTTTTAAAAATGCATGGAGCAGAGATTTAATTCATTAATTAGCGACAGATGTTTAAATGAAGACTTCTTCTTTATGGGTAACCAGTCTAACCACTAACCAGCTGCTGTGTAAACAATTTCCATGGGAAATATGAATAAGACAATGACCAGGATATCAATACTGAGAACAATATATTTGAAACCAGATAATAATAATTATTAGAAAATATCGAATCCAAAGATGGGGTCGATAAAGGATAAGATACTTTGCCAAGCAAAATAGTGGTAAATCTTTAATCTTACGAACATTAGGCAGAATTTGTTTACAAAAGTTAAGGATCCACTCCCTGTATTGGAAATTTATTATAATGTAAGTAATGTTTTAAGGGTTTAAATACGAAATCTATAATCTATATTTATTATGTATTTCTTGGAGCCTGTACCAGGTCCAGAGAGGAAAGGGTAACCAGGATTAGGAACCTTTTCCCGGAAAATTCTTGAACGATTGTTCCGTAAACCAAAATTTTCCGGAACTAAATATATTCGATCCGTAATGTTTCATAATTCCAGAACAACGTTCTGGAAATTTCCGGTTTACGGAAAAAAATCGTTCCCGAAATCATTCCGGATTTCCAGAACCTTTTCCATAATGGAAATGGAAACGTAAACCGTAACCCTGAATTCTGAATATCCACAACTCGATGTTAAAAACTATTTGGAAAGGCCTTAAAGTGTAAAAATAAGAAACAAGAAGCAAGAAGAAAAAAGAAAATGAACAGATAAAAAGTGGAAGGGAAATCTCTTGACAGTAGAGATGGGGGCTTAAAGCAAGATAAACAAGAAAGAAGAAGAAAACTTTGAACACAAAAAATTAGAAGGGGATTTTGGCTTTTTACGACCTATTTTTTTCACCGATAGCGAATAAAGACAAATACACAGGATGGCAGACGTCCCATTGCTATTCATGTAAAACTAATTAGATATGTTTTAATATGCTTTGATATTTGTTGTGTACATGTCAGAAAATTACTTTAAACTCTAGTTATTCTAATTAATGTATAAACTATTTTCCATAAGATAAAATCGCACCCTGATCTCTAATAGTTTTCCTTTAATATATTTAATTGAAATGTGTTGTTATCATTATTGAAATTAGGTGGAAAAAATAATCAAAACAGCCAAGAGCTATTTATGCTTGTACTGTTAATATAATCATCAATTTGTATTTGTAAACTCGTTCTGTACACAGATACATGTATTTTAGCAATAAACTTTATCTTATCTTATCTTATCTAAAGGCCCGGCCCCCCATCAAGAAAATTTCATTGAAAATGTGTTGATAGGAATGTAGAAGCTGATGCAGTAACATGACTCAAGCAAAATTTAAAAAAAAAAACAAGTTAGAGAGTAACCTTGCCACTCTCAGAATATAGATAAAGGGCTCAAAAAAATAGTTCTGCCTCTGCAATTTGGCTAGCTGCAGAAACATCCAAAAAATTCATTTATTTTTATTTTCAAAATTAGCTGAAGTATGATTGAAGGATGGATGAGGAATGGACGTTCAAGAAGAAAGAATGAAAAACAGGCTTTCGCGGGGTTGGAGCAGGCTTCTGCAGGGTTCGAACAGGGTTCTGCGAACTACCTGGGTTCGAACAGGATATTGCGGGGTTCATGGCCGCATGGCCCCCCCTCCCTACAACTATATTTATTTATTTCATAAATCTCAAAATAATTTTAATTTCTAGGTTTGATGGTGTATCTTACAAGGCATGGGGTGAAGGGAGCAGGAGGGGGGGATAGATAAAACTCCTAAGAATGCGCGAATACCGGATAATATTTTCTTAATTCTCTCTCTCTATGACAGCTTGCTCTGACAGCTTGCTTCTATAGTAATGTTAAGGATGAATACGAATGTTATGAATTTATCATAGAGAGAGAGAATTAAGAAAATATTATCCGGTATTCGCGCATTCTTAGGAGCTTTATCTATCCCCCCCTCCTGCTCCCTTCACCCCATGCCATCTTACAATACGCCACATCTGACCAACGCCTAATCCGTTATACTACACATCCGACCATGCGAACTGCACTCGGTTTTACAGCTGCTATATTTGACATGTGGCCGCAGTGTCCGGCCTCCTTGGCCCCCTAGCCTGTCATAGCCGCAAAAATAAACAGTTGGCGTAGGTCCGATATTGCAGTAGGTCGGAAAGTTAGTAGATCAGAAATTCTGTAGGGAGGATGTTGCGTATAGACGATGTAACATTACCTAGGTGTGTTTCTTAAATGTCGTCGTTGTTGTTTCTGCGCCAAATACGGTTTTATACTGCTTTTGTATTCCCTTTTCAGAAACTAAATAGATTCACTTAGTCTGGAAACTTTCGAAAATTTAGTCGGTCTACAAATTTTAAATAGGAAGATTTGAAAAACATCAGCTGTTTTTTTTAGTTTACTAACAAATTTCTGATACTGAACTTCTAAAAATGAGATTTTGACCCTCTTCAATTTACGTAACTCACATTGTGATTGATCACAATATCTTAGCTCATAACAGAAGTAATAATAGGCAATTTTTAGGACAGCCCTTCAAATAAAGGTTCTAATCTTTTGAAAAATAAGTATTAATTAATAGTTCATTTTATAGATGTTTTGATTATTGCGTGAAGAGGATACCATTTAACTGATTCTATTTTTAAATTCGATGGTCTGCGACATTTGATTGACAATTGATTGAAGTGTTATACTTACTTGTTTATACATCTGTATTTTCGATGTTTGCAGCATTAATCGTAAATAATGAAATACCTGTTTTCTATGTTCCACAATTTTTATTTAAACGTTTACTTCCTATAAATTAGGAAAGTATTAGAGCAAAAGTTGAAGGTATATTCAGTCTTATGCTGAAATTTTGCTAAATTTGATATGATAGAAACTTCCTAGAACGCGAAATTTATATAATTATACTTTTTCTTGGAACAATTTAAGCTTGCTTTGATATTTTTCAAATTGTACCATGAAAAACATAAACTTTTACGTATTTTCCAGATGTTATTGACGGATCTACATTTTTCTAGCCAAAAGGTGTGAACTCTGGCCAGCCATAAATCTTATCTTGGGTCAAATGTTCTACTTTAAATGTCGGCCCGTTTGGTTCAGTTGTCTTGTCAGTCCTTATTGGATACAACCATACAGGCACAAGCCAAATATGTATGAAGATAATTGTGTATAGTGGAATATAGATGTTAACTGGAAGAAGTATATAATAATATTGTGTACAGTAGGATGAAGATGATGCTAACTGGAAGAAGTATATAATAATATTGTGTATAGTAGGATAAAGATGTTGTTAACTGGAAGAAGTATATAATAATATTGTGTATAGTAGGATAAAGATGTTGTTAACTGGAAGAAGTATATAATAATATTGTGTATAGTAGGATAAAGATGTTGTTAACTGGAAGAAGTATATAATAATATTGTGTATAGTGGGATGAAGATGATGTTAACTGGAAGAAGTATATGGGGGTTATCAAGAAGATGGTTACCGACAGTAATGCAGTGGCTCAGGAGAAAGGTACATTTTATAAGTTTTCCTCATTGATGCTCTGCACCCTGAGGGCGGTCTGGGGGTTCCATGTTGGGTTCCTTTTCAGATCTTATAATTATTTATTTATTTATTAAAAAACTGGATTTTTAAATGTTGTTTTTCTTCTTTAATTTTAGGTCTGGATTGTGTTCTTTTGTTTACTGAAAACTGTAAATCGGCCAATAAAGTAGTCGGAGAGGTAAAAAAAATACTGATCTTTTATGTGGGAAATATTTAGACATTCTTGCAAAAATGTTTTAAATCTGCTCAATTACTATTCTAGATAGTTGATGGATTGGTAACTAAGTGTGTCGCAGCTCCAAAGACTAAAACTAAAGAACTTTCAACACAGGTAAGTTTCCAAATAAAAATTGACAACAATGAATCCCCTCCCCCTCCCCTTTTCTACATAAGAAACATTTTAATTAGATTTTTATATATTTTTTTGGCGATTTAAATGAATTTTTTATCTCAATATTTCACTTGAAACTTTCCGTCCCATTAGAAATTTATTCCCCATACCCATGTTGTCTCTTCATTTGAAATGTATATTTTCTAAAAAAAAACAAATTATTTTAAATTTAGATTATTTTGATGTGTACTGAGATCGAAGCCCATGAGAAAGTGATAGAGGGACTTCTGGGTGGTCTTGCACAGAAAAATCCCAAGGTTTTATCCCGAATATCTCGACAAACTTTTTTTTATTAAATTCACCCAAAGAAATATAGACATTTTTAATATTATTGTAAAGCTAGGTTTAAATGCAAATTTTGCATATAAACATATTTTTCAAATTATATTTCTTCTTGGATTAGAAATAAACTTATGTTATTTGGTTTTTAAACAGCGGAATATATCTACAAGAATGTGTGATTTCTTAAATTTGTGTCAAATCTTCAAATCATTTTTGGAATTCGTCGTAAAATTGTTGTTGGGGTTGCGCCTCTGGTCTCTGGAGTCTGGAACTGTCGTTGTAATTTCAAGTGACCCTCCATTTTAAGAGGGCCATGTCTGCTACACTGATATTCTAAAAAATTTCATCTTGTCAGAAAAAATTGGAAAATTGTAGTTCTTTAAACCTAATTTTATACGCAAGTTTAGTCACTTTTATGAGAAACTACAATTGAACAAATTTTAGAAAAAAATGGACATCTCATTCATTCTAGATCAGAAAACGCCTTCAAGGGTTCTGTGACAAATCGGAAATGCTATCCTGTAAATGAAAAGTCACAAAAAATGTCGACCTGAGATAATTAATCATAAACTGTTCATCTATAATTTTGATTTATAAGCTTGTTTTATATTCTAGATTGTATCTGCGTGTGTTTACAATGTGACTGAGGTGCTGAAGGGGTTTGGAGCTAAGGTTATCAAAATATCTCCGCTTCTTAAGGTTAGTGTCAAACTGGTTGGTTGATGTTTGGATTGATTAATTGATGTATTTATGATTAGTGGACTGATTGATTGATTAATTGATGTATTTATGATTAGTGTATTGATGTATTGATTGATTGATTGATGTATTTATGATTAGTGTATTAATGTATTGATTGATTGACAAGCTGAGGAAACCATATTTTTTTTTAGAATTTCATTACGCGGTTCGAAAGAAAGAAAAGTAAAACCAAAAATAAACTGAAAAAAAATTATAAAGATTAGACTAAAACCCAGAATGCGGGTAGGAGTTGAACCTCCAACCCAATTATGATTTTATTTTATTCAGGCTGTAATACCCCTTCTGGATCATAGAGATAAGGATGTGAGAGAAGAAGGGAAGAAACTGATAATTGAATCCTACAGATGGATAGGTAACACATCTCACTTAATCATTATTTTATCAAATATTATTGGATCGTGCTCAGTTAAAAAATTGGGATTTTCGGAACTATTAGAAAACTTTAAAACGTTGAATCATTCAAAAAAAAAACTGTACAAGTTGCATGCAGAAAATAAAAGGTTCTTCGAGTATTTTAGCTTAATTTGACGTTTAAGCATAGAGATCATCCAATATGATATGGGACACTGTAAATCTGCTGACAATGAAAAGCTTATCAATTCTTTTAATCACGATATTCTTCACTTTTTAAAACACGACCTCTTTTATATTTAGTTCAGCATAAGCAAAAATGTGGCGCTTCGTGACAGGGATGGTGGATTGGGAAATGAATTTCAGTAACATTTATTTAGGTTCCCTGATGAAGTCTCAGCTAACTGGTGTTAAGCCTGTTCAGGTGATTACTTATTCAGTATCTGAATTTTTTAGTGTTATTTTAATTTTTTGGATTTACAGAAATGTTTTGGTTTTACAGCTTTTTTTAACGTTTGTTATATCTAAAAACACCAATTCTACAGCTTATTACCCTACCCTTTTGTTATGTTAATAGCTTGTCAGTGCATTTACTACAAACGTGTTTATTACAGATCAAACTCGTGTTTTACAATATTTGTTATTTTCAAGTTCTCTAATCTCACCAAGTTTAATGTATTCAATATATTCTAGATGACCGAGTTCGAGGCTGAGTTTGAGAAGGTAGAAGCCGGAGGTCGAGCTGCACCAACAAGATGGTTAAGGTCGGCTGGTCCTCCAAAACAGGAAAAGGTATTAAATCAAAATCGGCAGACGGAAGAAAATAAATTTAGCTTTTAAATCTATTTCAACCAACCATTTATCATAAATATTAAAAGAAATTTGGTTGTATAAACGAACTGCAAGTAAACTTTGGTTGATTTTTATCTGAATCCTATATTCAGAATATCTTTTCCTCATCCTGTTTATTTGTTACCCTGACTTCTATGACCGTCTTTATTATCCAAAGTGGGGGAGGGGCTTTAAGATAAAACTTAATTGATTGATTATTTTGTTGATTTATTAAATTGGTTGAATTATTGATTGATTGTGCTGTATACTGAAACCACATATTGTAATTAGTCTGTAACTTTTTACATAAATGTATCGCGTGTACTTGTTAAGGCGACTGAAGGCGGAGCTGATGAGGGAGATGGGGATGAGGAGGAGGATAGTCAAGACTCTGATCTAGATCCTTACGAGATGTTAGATCCTGTGGAAATTATCTCAAAACTACCAAAAAACTTCTTTGAACAGGTAAACTGAGTTATTTTACATTTTATTCAGAATTTCGCAATTTTATCTTCAAAGTGGTGCTAAGGATCCGGATTCGGAATATATCTTCAATTGTATTTCTAGATCAAGATCCGCAAATATATCCAGGATCCAGGAGATTAATTTTTCTCCCTTTATATTTAAATGTATATAGGGAGAAATGCGATGTATTTTGGATAGGTGGTGGCCGGGGGTATTGTTGGTAATTCGTTTTTTTGTTTTTAAAGATCTGTTAATTTTCTTTTTTTATTTCTAATATATTGATTTTATAAAGGTTGAAGAGAAGAAATGGCAGCTCCGGAAGGAGAGCCTTGATGCCCTCCTTCCCCTGACACAGAATCCTAAACTGCTTCCCGGAGATTACAATGATCTTGTGAAAGTTCTCAAAAAGTTTATCAATAAGGTAATTTCAAAGTTGGGTTTGACGTTTGACTTGATCTTGATCTGATTTGATCTGATTCATTCATTATTTGCTCCAATGAGAATACGACGCTACTTGGACAATATTTCAGGGGTGGATATTTTCTTTCGCCCCCCTTTTTTTCGGTAAAAATTTTGAAATCCAATGTTTTATTTTTACCATGATCTTTCAAAATTATCTCTCCCCTGGTCCCGTGGGGAGTTAATTTTTTAAATATACACCTGCTGAATATTTCTAATTTCTTGTTGGTAAAATTTTAATGTATTTACAATTTTTGTCGGATGAGATATTTTTGTTTCTAAGTTTGTTACACCGCCGTTAAACTGCGTATTCAGGACACCAACGTGATGCTGGTTGCCCTGGCTACCCAATGTTTGACTGGTCTGGTGAAGGGGTTGAGGGGGAGCTTCAAGAACCTGGCGAACAACGTGTTTTCCTCCCTTCTAGAGAAGTTTAAGGAGAAGAAGCTAAACGTGGTGACTGCGTTGAGGGAGTGTATAGACGCTATTTATCCAATACTTGGCATAGAAGCTATTCAGGTTCATTCAGATTAAGATTATCAACGACAATGCAACAAATATTTCAAATAAGCTGAAAATTAGTTAGATTTCACCTTAATTAGAGAATTTATACTTTTCATGTAAATCAAATAAAATTTGATTTGATTTGATTGCTTTGGCATTATTTAGGGATACTTATCGACGTAGAAGGGTTGGTCCCTACCTTACAAAGCGACCGATTGTCTTTTATTGATAAAAATTAAACCGTTTTTTTATGTATAAAATTAAAGATTAAATGTGTTTTTTATTTATTTGATAAGTGAACAATATCTGGCCAATAACAAAATTTTGATTTTTAGGAAGATGTGCTAGCAGCTTTAAAGCATAAAACTCCAGCAGTTAAATCTGAAACTGGTAGTTTTCTTGCTAGATGCTTCTCCCAGTGTCCTGCTCTTCTACTCACCAATAAAAAGGTTGGAACTAGGCTGTATTGGTGATGGCTTTTAGATCACAGGATTTAATTGTTTGATTGATTGCATCGGTTTTACATCTTTCACGTTAGATTTTCTTTTAAGGTTCTGAAAGGATATATCTCCGCCCTGCTTGAAACCCTGAATGAATCTGACCCTGGAGTTAGGGAATCAAGTGCTGAAGCACTCGGAGCTCTCGTTAAATTCATGGGAGAAGGAAAGGTAGAAGATTTTTCCCTCTCGTATGAAAAAATAAGCGTCGAAATGAATGTGTAAGTGTTTATGTGGTAAACCTTTCTCGGGCCAACCCGTAATGTATGTAACTTGCATAAAAAATGTGGCATTACTTTTTGGTAACCTAGAATAACTTACCACAAAGACATAGTAGGTCGTTTACTGTCAAGTATTCTTCTATTCTTAAAGTACCACGGACAACGCTGGGCACTTGAGCCAGGTTGTGAAGTTTTTTGATCCACCGAGTCCGTTTCCGTCAAAAGTTTGGCGGAATCCAGTACAAAACCTATTGTTCGGTTCTGTATTACATTATCCTGATGTCTGCAGGTGTTCCCCTTGATGCCGGACCTGGATAACCTCAAGCAGGAGAAGATAAAGGAGAAGGCGGAGAAGATAGAACTCAGGTTAACACAAGGGTGTGCCAATAGAAAATTCTAGTACTATACAGTGCACAAATATGAATTCTGTAATTCACAATCAACTCAGTTTCTTTGTGTAAAAACTTGTTCAGCTGTCTGTTTACATTCAATTTAATTAGGTTTATGCCGAGACAATGATTTAAAGTTTCGACATGACATGTTTTTTGATAAATATATTAAAATAATGAGTTAATTTACTCATCTCCGTTTAGTTTTTGTACGTGCAACCGTGCTGTAACTATAACTCTGGACTGCGTCTTAGACGTGGTACTACTGGGTTCAATTTTATGGGTTCACTGGGTTCACCCATCAAAACAGAGTTCATTGTGTATTACATAATTTGGTGTATTCTATTGTACAATTTTCCTATTGGCCTTACCCTACCTTAGCTAAACACGTAATTTAAGTATTTAGACCACCTTGATAATTTAAATTCTTTCTTGTATAATTCTTTATTTGTTCAGTGGAAAGAAAGTGAAAAGTGGGAAACCTGAACCTAAGGCTGAACCTAAGTCCGGAGCAAGGATTGTTAAACCTGAAGCTGGTAAACCTAAACCTGCACCGTCGAAACCTAGTGCAGCACCTGTAAACAAGAAGGTCAAGTTTTATTTTCTAACTGAAAGAGAGGGTAGATGATATTCCTAGATATGGATTATGGAGTTAAGAAAAAAAAATACGAGAGAAGATCTTTAGCTATCAAGATTTAGCCCTCTTTTTCATACTCAGTACTCAAAAAAAATATTTATTTTAAACAAGCTTAACAATTTGTTGCGTTCCGCGCTGACTTTCATAACAAAATTGGTAAAAATCATCCTAGGATTTAGATTTTAAAAGATCCAGTTTATACTCTTTTGAATCTTAAAGATCTTAATTGTTGAATTTATCCCCGATTGTTTAGGTTGTTAAGGCGGGTGGTGCCAAGGGTCCAGGAGGGGTAAAGAAGACAGGTAAAGGTCCCCCAGGTCCTCCTAGTGCAGGAGTTGCCTCGGAGTCGGATATAAGTGCTGAGGAGGTGGAAGCACGGGCAGAGGAGTTAATCCCGGCGGATCTATTATCTGGTCTAGGTGACATGAACTGGAAAAACAGGTTTTTTTTAAGATTTACATTTTATCTTATACTCATTGCCCATTGCTCAATCAGAGCCTAATAATGAATATTGTATGGATGTCTGCGAGCGCTCACCCGATGGCAGACNGGGGGGGGGGGGGGGTTGCTATCAAACCATATGAATAAACAGCTACTATTTTTAACATAATTGAATATTTAGATTGGCTGCTATGGAAACTTTCAAGTCAAGATTATCAAGTGCCGATAATCTTCCAGGTATTCAGAGATATATGAAGGGGAAATACTGTAATTTGCGTGTGTGTGTGAGGGGGGGATGGGGGGGGTTGAGCATCAAATTGTAAAAAAATCAACAAAGATTTTACTCCTTACAATTTTCGGGGTTAAATAGGTTTGTAAGTTAATTTTTACTGATTCCCGTCGTCGATAAAGCACTTGACTAGTCAGTCACTCCATATTTTAATTTTGTTGTGTTTAAAATTTACCATCTATCTAAATAATAATTCTAACTTCAATACGGTTTGTAAAGTTGCATCTCTTCCGGCCCTTAAAAGAGAAATGTTTTCCCGACGCAAAAAAATTAAAATAAGAAGCATAATTTATTATTTTGTGTTTGAGGATTGCTTGCTGTGAAACTATTTTGTCGGAAACCAGGGTTAAAGGATAATAATTAGAATATTATATTTGAGGTTTGCTTGCTGTAAAACTATTGTGTCGGAAACCAGGGTTAAAGGATAACAACTTCCAAGTTCTTGGTCTACGACTCAGTGCTTTATCTCAAGTAGCGCAGGTAATCAATCTAATCTTATGTACAGTTTATTTATAATTTTTAGATATGGGGCATAAATAATTTTTTATTCATTAAGTTATTCATTAAGAAACATGAATGGCTAGCGTATAAAACAATAAAAAAACTTAACTTTAAAAGCGCAAATATGGAAAATTTTCAACAAGAAAAAAGGCTTAAACACCAAGAATTAAAAAAGGAATTGAGCCTTTGATCTGAGTAATGAATTATCAACAGTAGATAAATATTTAGAAATGTAGTTGGAGTCAGCAGTGCTGGGATACTGTGTTCCCCGATATTGTAGAGAAACTCTCAGATAAGAAGAATATTGAAGCCTGCAAGGTAAAAAAAAATTTTCTTCGCAAATAATAAACCTTTATAGATCAAAGCATTTATGCCGGGGATCATCGAGGGAGAAATCATTGACAAAACACCACATGAAAGGATTTTATTTTATTTTATTTTGACCCATTATCTGCAAGTAATACCACTTTTCTAATTGCAATATTTACACACATGATATCTGACACAAATAGTATCTTAGTCATCTGCCACCTATAGTATCCAAGTTCATGACATTTTCCACTAATTTGAAGTTTTAAAACTGCAATAAAATCATTAGTAGAACCCAAGCACTTTCATACTAATCTGAATTTAATTACTTTTAATCAATTAAATTTAAAATGTAAAACCTTTTTTAGGTCACCTTATTTGATATTGCTGAATCCTGTAGTTTTAACTTTGTATTTACTGGAGTACTGGAGGGAGCATTCGCACAGAAGAATCCAGTTGTCAAGGTAGGAATACATGTCTGGCTGGAACTATTTTAGCAAAAATGTCTATTCCTTCTTGCACTTCCAAACATTTATACTACCCAATATATTCAATTCAATGATAAAAATTCTTTCAGGGAAATCATTAGGGAGGTAGATTTTTCAATCTTATCAAAACATGTTGATGTGCATTTCTTAACAATTTATTATTTTAAAATTTTAAATTTCATAATTTAGATAAAGTTAATAAAAAAAAATTCTAATTTTATTTTTCTTCTTGTCATCATTTCTTTTTTTTTACTTCTGTTAACTGTCCTTGGTTCTAATAATTTTGAAGAGAAAAAAAATTTGGTCGAAACCAGTATTTTTTAAACACTCACTAAGGTTGAATGATATGTTATAGTGTGTTCTAGTTTTGGCTGACTCAGCAAATTTATTTTGTTAACCTAGGAATATCTGACCTTGCACAGTTGATCATGCTGTTTTACGATCAGGCGGGTGGTTTTAAAGGGGGGCCAGGTGGAAAAAAAGGTTTCAGAAATTGTTGCTTTGAGTTATATGTTCAAATCCTGGTCATGCCTATTAGTCAAAGATGGTGCCCCACAACATTCGTCCACTAAAAAAGGAGTTGGACATTTTGAGGAGTTAGGAAGGGAGGGTATCAAGGGACTCCCTTAAAGGAAGGAACCCTGTTTTTCTCCAGGATTTATACTCTTTCCGAGTTCTGCGGCATTATAGGTTACCCATTGGAGTTGCACCGCATGTATATAAATGGGGAGTGGCTGCTATTGTACTTGAGAATATGACCTCGTCTACGACAATCTTTTCCTCGCAGTTGGCAGAATATGAACCGGTATCATAGTGCATGTTGCACAATCTATCAGGATTCTACTTTCTCTGTTTCCATTTTCCTTTTTTCTGGCAAAAGGGAGGGGGAAGAGAAGCATAGAGAGATCCTTCCCTCTCTGCACCATTATTTTCTTTTCTTTTTCCAAGTAGGGTGTACTGTACTGCCAAGTTTTGTTCCAGACAGGGTTCTGCTCAGCCGCGTGAAACTAAGAGTGCTGTAGGCAGAACCTGACTGCAACTGCATGTTGATGTGTATAAACCAAAAGATACTTCATAAAAATCTTTCCTGAACGCTTCATCTCTATATCTAATGGGCACTTATAAACTAGAGGATATAACCACCGTGGAATTATGGAAGAGGAACTAATTTAATCCGTAAATCTGCCTAAGATGGTCTCGATTCATTGTACACGGTCCATATTTTAGAAATTAAATTTGTTTTTAATTAAGGCTGAAAACAAATTTTCGTCCCAAATATTTTCTTTTTCTTTAATTTGTTCAATTTTACCAAATGGAACGTTTTAAACCGCCGACAATAGTGATTTTTTAAGAAGAACATTAGCCTGCTTTTTTTGGTGCAAGTAAAGGATGTTCTCTAAATCTAATCTTATGCTTAATATATTCCTAGGCCGAGGCCCTGAACTGGGCTGGAGAAGGAATAAAACTGTTTGGGTTCGGTGGACTGCAGTCTAAAGCTGCATTAGAGGCGATCAAAAAGGGACTTGGAGAAACCAATCCTGCAGTTAGAACTGCATCTATTGGATTAATAGGTAGGGGTTCACTGATGAAAGATTTTTATTTTATTATAAAATAATTCCTTCCCCCTTAAATAATTTTTCTTGACAGCAATCTTGTAGATATTCATTTTGAGGTTCTATTTCCGAGTTTTGGAAAATAATCTGCCGGACCCAAATTTTTAACATTGATCTACACTGGAGGATGAGAAGCCTGCAGTACTGCAGCAGATAGATGCAGAGTGTAATAAATATGCAGGAGAATCATTACCTATACCTACACGAGGGAAGGTGGTCAGGTAGAGAGTAAGCATTGTAGACTATTGAATTGTTCTTCCAATGTTACTTTACAGGACTAGGAGCATAATTTTATAATTTTTGCCATGTGCGGTTCACAACGGTACCTATTAAACCTTTATCTGATATATATTTTTGTTTTCATCTTGAAACCTATTGAATTCTGAAAATGTTCTCCAAAATTTTTACAGATTCAAACAATGTTAAAACAATTTGAGATTTGATTATTTAATATTTAGATCTAGTGATTTATATTTGATGTCCTCTACTCAAGGTCTAGTGGTGAAGATGAAGGGGAGGATGAGGATGAGGTTGAGACTGTAGTAGAGGATCTGGTTCCTAGGAAGAATATATCCGGAGAACTAAATGATCAGCTCCTGGAGAATATAAAGGATAAGAACTGGAAGATAAGGAAGGAAGGATTAGATAAACTCAAGGAAAGGATATATTCATGATCAAGTCTAGTCCACACAAACTCATTGCTCTCATTTTAGGCTTCTTCTCTTAATTGGGAAAAATAGAAATTAAATTACAAATAGTTCATGAATATTTCTTACTTAAAGGATATAATAAACTCAGCTAAGTTTATCACCAATGATCTGGGTGGTCTACCTCCTGTACTCTGCTCTAGAACTATAGATACTAACAAGATACTGGCTACACAGGTTATATATAGTCTAGATGGTCTAGACCTCCTGTACTCTGCTCTAGAATTACAGATACTAACAAGATACTGGCTACACAGGTATATATATAGTCTAGATGGTCTAGACCTCCTGTACTCTGCTCTAGAACAACAGAAACAAACAAGATACTGGCTAAGCAGGTTTATATGATCTAGGTGGTCTCGACCTCGTTACTTTTCAACTTTTTTATTCCGGGTTTGGAGGTTCCTAGTGGTTTGTTTCTTGGTACTTCCTATTTTATTTATGTGTATTATAAATAAAAAAGCAATCTTATTCAGGCACTTGATCTTGTTGGTGAGCTAGCCCTAGCTATGGGTCCTCAGACTAGAACCCAGATCCCCCAGCTAGTTCCTGCTGTACTAGCTGCACTAGCTGATAGCAAGAATACTGTGAGAGCAGCAGCTATTGCTACTCTTAATATCTTCATTAAAGAAACATCGTTAAAGGCAGGATTCAGTTCTTCATGTATATTATATACACATTTCCATTTTTTATTGATCCATCCTCAGATCTTCAGAAAGAGTTTTTTAGTCCCTTTTCAGTACATAATATATATCACAATCTTTTCATTCTCTTTTGTCTAGCAATTGAATTTTCAATATGCCAGCATTGCTTTACATGTTTATATCTGAATTGATGGGGATTAGGCCTTTTTGTTAAATACATTATGTAGCTTATAATAAACGAAAAACTTTTAATGAAAACTGAATGTTTGAACTGTAGGACATACTTGTTAACGAGATTATTAGCTCTGCATTGATCAAGGGGAACCCCAACACCAAACAGGAGCTCTTCAACTGGCTGAAGGAGTCTATGGGAGAGGGGAAAGGATTGAATAAGGACGAGCTGGTTGCCTGCCTCCCCACCCTCTACACTAGTATAGAGGATCGGGCAGCCGAGGTTAGAAAATCAGCTCAGGAGGCCGTCCTCCCATTCATGAAGCATCTTGGCTACGATACAATGCGTAAAGAGGCGGATAAGCTGAGTGCTGTTTCTAAGAATACCGTGATGCCTATTCTAGAGAAGTCGAGAGCGGAACTACCCGCCCCAACCATCTCTTCCAAGCCTAGGCCGGTGGTTACTCGAGATGATTCTGTAGAGACAGCCAGGGATAAACAAGAAGAGAAAAATTCAAATAAACCTGAACAAAAATCCACCAAACCTCAAGTAAGTTAAAAATGTTATGAAAAATTTGAAATTTTTATTATAAAACATTGAATTTAGATGAAGTCCCGACTAGGATTGAATAAACCAACTGCACCGAAGAAAGGAGCAGAAGAGATGGATTCGTCTCCACTCTATCAGGTTTGAAGTTAAAGGGAGTGTTCGCGAAAGATGAAAGGGGGTATAGGCTCAATGCGATAAAAAAAAGCGCTTTTAATCGCTACTAATCTTTCTTCTATCTGTTGTGTCTATAAGGAGAAAATTGTTAAAGACGTCTCATACCGAATAACTTAGCGGCCATACAAATTGAGAAAATTGCAACATACGACTTAGACCGTAAAAAAATCAATTTTATTTGAAACAAATCATTTAGATATTACAACCTATTGTCATCGATTATCTTTCGCCACATTTAAGATTAGAAAAATTTTGTGAAAATCATCCATTCAACATTTTTGAAATCAAGATCAGTCCCATAAAACAAATCACGAAACAATTCTTTTATTATATATTTAAAATGAAAATGTTCTAATATTATTTACTTGAAAATAACTTAAATAATAAATTATTTCAGTAAGAATTAAAGTATATGATAATACAATGCAGTCGACACATTATTTAATTTAAATTATCAATATTTCAGGCGAATAAGTTGAAAAGTTCGAGATTCCGTGATGAATCTAAACTTAAAACTCTCAAGTGGAATTTTGCTACACCGAGGTTAGTTTTATAATCGTGTGGATTTATTTCATATATTTGTCTGAGTTTCTGTTTGGGGTTAAATATAAATATTTGACAAAATCTGGCAGATTATATCAAATATACTTTTAACTCAGAAATTGAGAAATTCAGAAAATACCAAATATAATTTATTTTCCTCAAAAAAATTTGTTGACATTCTCGCGCGCAAAAAAAAGATATTTTTGAGAAGAGAACGATTTTTCAATTTGATTAAAATACATTAATATATTGTAGACAAGAGTTTGTTGATCAGCTGAAGGATCAGATCACTGCTGCAGGATTTAATAAATCTCTCTTCGGAATGATGTTTCACGCCGGTAACGATTTTACTAAAGATAATAACAAAAATAATTATAGATCTGAAAAAGTTTCCAGCATCCCTAATGAAAAAAGTGGATATTCTTTCCGTATATTATCTTTATAAACGTATATTTGTCTTGAATGTTTGCTTGTATCCAATAATCGTTGAAACGGCTAAACCGATTAGACCTAAATTCTTGCGTGACTATAAACGGTTCCAGGCAAGATTTATGGCCGGCCAGAATTGATAAGGTGGGGGGGTGGGGAGGGGCACAAAACCTATTACTCTCCGGAAAATTTAAACAGTGTTTAAACATAACTTAGTCGTAGAACGCTGATTTTTTGCATGTGAACTCAAAATTATGTTTTTTAGTGCGCTTATCGGTGGAAAATATTACTTTTTTCGCATTTTTGCAATCTTGACAACATGAAATGAACTTGAATTTTCTTCAAGATGATTTCAAACATGTCATGTCTGGATAATTTGCACAAAAAGCCTTCAATCCCCGCTCGCGGGCATTTTTAAAGATATTTGAGATTATTGATTTTTCAATTTTGGTGATATTCTAAACACATGTAGCATGCGATAAATGAATTTACAGGTAAATTGTGACGAGGAATTCATTTCTGTGGTCAAAACAGATATTGGAGCGTTCTGATCAGCGCGTTATTAGCCAGAAAATGCATTATGGGTCACACATTTTCCATGTCGTATGTCTATAATTAGATGATTAGGCACGGGGATTCTATTTCTTTGGTTAAAAATGTAGTTTGAGCACTCTGATCGGCGCGCTAGTAACCAGCTATTCCATTTTGGGTCATCTAACCACATATTTTTCGAGTTGTATGCCAATTTTAAGGTTATTACATTTTCGATGTCAAATTAAATATTGGAGCATTCTGACCATTGAGTTAGTAGCCAGCTGTTACCTTATGGGTCAACTTATCACAGATTTGCATGTTGTGTATTAATTTATAGGTAATTGGGCACCAGGAATTTATTTCTAAGGTCAATATGAATATTGGGACTTTCTGGCCGGCGCGCATATATCCAGCTGTTAAGTGGAATTCATTTAAAAGGTCAAAATAGACATTGAAGTGTTCTGACCGGCATGGTAGTAGCAAGTTGTTATATTATGGGTCATCTTACCACATTAGGCAACTAGACTCAAGGATTGAATTGTTTATGCTAACAAATTATGTTTGATTATTGTGATTGGCGTGCTGCTGGCAAGAAGGCAGTTTTGGGGTCAACTTATCATACATTGATAACCAGAAAACTGGTATAGGAACACGGCTATTGAAGTTATGCCTTTAAATATTGCAATGAACATGAGACACAAACAGACCCTATTGACTTAACAAGGGATTTATTAAGTTACTAGTATCACTATTTGTTTAATAACAACATCAAATGGACCAAATTATTGCTATAATGTCGACTTCCTATTCCACGGTTTTCTGGTTATTACTGTAGTTATTCATGTTGTATGTCATTTTATAGGTGATTCGACCTGGGGAATTTATTCCTGTTCTCAAGACTTGGTTTTACCCCTTTTAACTTTTAAAAAATAAATTGATTGAAAGCTGTTCTTAAAGCCTAGAATCCGAGTAAATACCTTGCAGTACTTGCAAATCAAGTTCTTGATCTTTCAGAGTATTAACTAGTTCATATACTTTTTCAGATTTCAAACAGCACTTGAAAGCTATTGAGATGCTGTCTGAACATTGTGGGACGGATATTGATGGATTAATATCAAACCTGGATCTACTGCTCAAATGGATGACCCTGAGATTCTTTGAAACCAATCCGAGTGTGAATATTAAAGGTGCAGTATTTTGCCATCTAGCATATTCTTAGTTAAATTCTGGAGTACCTTAATTTACTATAATTTTCTATGGGTAGGTCTATTCGGAGTACTTATAATCTATATATTCTATGTTAAGGTCTGGAGTACCTATAATCTATATATTCTATGTTAAGGTCTGGAGTACCTATGTCAGGTGTTTGGAGTATTGGCTGAGTATGAAGAAGGATATATGCTTCATGAACTAGAGGCCAGTGCCTTCCTTCCTTACCTTATCAACAAAATGGGAGATCCCAAGGTATACTTTTTATGTTCCAGTCATATATTTATGATTTGATACGATTTGACTTGATTTGATTTGATTTGACTTGACTTGACTTGACTTGACTTGACTTGACTTGACTTGACTTGACTTGACTTGACAAGAAGTATCAAGATCCGTCAAATCCGCTACAAAAAGTGACTAACCATAAAATTTGCCACAAAAAATATCTTAGTCCAAAAGATCTGCCACAAGGTCAAGTGAGTAAAAATAATATAAAATTATTATTTTATTACTATTATTATTTAGGACCAGATACGTAGCTGCTGCCGAACTATTCTAAATCTAACCTGTAACCTATACCCAGCATCTAAACTTTTCCCACATTTAATGAACGGTTTAGGTAATTATTTTCTCAACAGTTTCAGAAAAATATATAGTCTTTGGAAGGGGAATTCTTTTATTTAGCCTAATTTAGTATTGTAAGATGAAAACCCTTTTTATCTGGTTTCTCAGAAATTGGCATGAATCTACATATTTGATGAATAATGAATGTATGTTCTGTTGAAATGTTCTTATTAAAACGTGTAGAGTTGTGAGCATTGAGCAATTTTCACCCCTTATAAGTTTTAATATTTACTTCAACAAAATACTGTAATATAGGGACAAAGAATGCCAAGCAGAGAGCTGAATGCCTGGAGGAGCTAGGAACACATATCCGCAAACAAGGAGTGTCTGTAGCAGGGGCACAACCTCCTGTAGCACTAAAGGAGATTGCTAAACAGATTGCTGATCGTGATACTGGAGTTAGAAACGCAGCTCTCAATGCTGTCACAGAGGCGTATTTCAAGGTTAGTTTACCTTAGGGTGTGTACTGTGTATAGTACATGGTTTATTTTTTATATGTTTATTTGATAGGATTTGTATTTGTAGAGGCTCACAGTTTTTAGTTTGTTTTGCTTTTATTAGTTGTTAACATGCATGTAATATTGGCAAAATCAAGAAAAAGGATTTCAAAAGTAGGTTGGATGATAGAAAAATAGGTTAAAGATAAGAGAAATCTTTCCAAATGTGAAGAAATAAAAATTTATCTATTATTTTAAAATTGTATATTTTATTGTTAGTTTTACTGTGTTTTGAACAATGCAGTAAAATTGTGTAACGTGAATTTTAGGATGTAATGTATAGGGAATACATTATTCAGACATCTACATTGTAATTAAAATATCATATTGTATTCAGATATTAAATACTGCTGTAACCAGAAATACCAGGGGCTTATAGTCTTCATTGAATTATTATTTAGTTACTTAAATAGAAAATAACTTTTATCACGTGATTGTTAGCAGAATATATTATAGTTCACATTAAGAGACGAAAAGCAACCCCACTCGTTGAGCAACCCGAAAATGTTGTCAAAACTGGGAGAGCTTACACATTTTTTTCTCATGGATAATCATTCTATTTTTAAGCTCTTTTTATCACCGTTTATCTTTAGAACTGTGTTTAGGAAGGGGAGAAGCTATACAAGATGATCGGTAATATCCCTGAGAAGGATCTGGCCATGCTGGAGGAAAGAATTAAGAGATCCTGTAAATCTCGTCCTCAAGAACCCGAACCTATAGGAACGTTATAAGTTCAGATTTAAAAAAAAAATTTAACTGGATCTATAAGTTAATGTTCCAGGCTGCTGAAACCCCAATGTTAACTGAGGAATTGAAACTACAAACTGAAATTTAGAAGCTGATCTCAAATCACCAAATTTCTGAATTATTATTTGATTATCATTTGTTATCTAAAATTCTGATTTTAACGCTGTAAAGGTCAACCTTCAGATCCACAAAGGAAACCCAGTAAACTGCAGATTAAAACAGGTAAGACAAGGGGAATAAATTTAATATCTATGTATTCGACCCTTCCCCCTCCCCCCCTTACCTTTTTCAAATATATGAACCGGGTAGGGGGGAGGGGGGGGGGTAGAGTGCCACTGAAGAAAAAAATTCCCAGATGTGCTACATATTTTCAAGGAAGCATTAGGGGAAAGCAAGCTCAATTACGAAATTTTAGCATTTTAAAATAACTTTCATAAATGGCCCAGCCATTATACTGTTTTTCCGCCATTTTTGGCCTTCTTTAACCTTTTTAAACCATTCTCGGCTAAATAGGGTTTAAGAACTTATAAGATGTTTTTGTAGGGATGCGTCCTCCGTCTGCTCCTAGTGCTGGTATGGGTCGAGAGGGAGAATCTGATATCAAACTTAGACTACAGCAAGCTAGAGCTACTAGTGCTGCACCAGGTTATACAAATACTTTGGTTATAAACTTAACTTACAAGCCTGTCCAGTGCCCATGACATGAAACTTAGTGATGATGTAAGATTCAAACCATCAAAAAGCAGATAACAAATTTAAATACGATTTTCTTATCAAAAATGTTATTCGGTTCCTACAATTAACATACAATAGCCATAGGACTGACAAAGGTGTAATTCAGTTTTCTTAGTATATTTCAGATCGAACATGATTTTTTGTAGGAGCGAGACCTGTATCTGGAGTTTTCTCTCTAGATCTGGAGAAAATAGAAGGGAGATCAGAACGTATATCAGATACAGGTAACCCTACCACTTACTACCTATCTCCTAGTACCTTCTTCCTACTTCTTTTGGAATGCTTTTTCAAGAAAACACCCCGTACACAACTTGGATGATATAATGAACTGTGTTTAGGTCCTAAACTTGGTGAACACAACCTGGATGATATAAAGAACTGTGTTTAGGTCCTAAACTTGTTGAACACAGCCTGGATTATGCAATGAACTGTGTTTAGGTCCTAAACTTGTTGAACATAACCTGGATTATGCAATGAACTGTGTTTAGGTCCTAAACTTGTTGAACACAGCCTGGATGATATAATGAACTGCGGTTAGGTCTTAAACTTTTTGAACATAACCTGGATTATGCAGTGAACTGTGTTTAGGTCCTAAACTTGTTGAACACAGCCTGGATGATATAATGAACTGTGTTTAGGTCCTAAACTTTTTGAACATAACCTGGATGATGCATTGAACTGTGTTTAGGTCCTAAACTTGTTGAACACAACCTGGATGATATAATGAACTGTGCACCTGTGATGTTACCTATAACTAGGACTGGAATGCAAAGAATGATGAGCCCTGAAAACAATTTAGCCAGGTTCAACTATTCTTCTGAAATATTTATTTTTATTTTTATACTCTCAGTATTTGATAATATATGATGTAATATTTAAGATGTAATCAAGAAGCCCACCAGGCGGTTACTGCTATTATTGCTCAGATCTTTAATCCTGACATTCAGGTAATTAATCTTCTTTTTCATCAAGTTTCAATTTTTTATACAGGGGTACCCACTAAGGATGAGACTTCGGAGACGTTTTTCCGGAATTTGTTTAGTCAGTTTTCTTGCATTCAGGATTATTTGTGTGCTTGTGTGCTTAAAATTTAGTTAAACGTCAAAATACTCAATTGAATGAAGAAATTTAAAAATCAAACTACCAATCGTCATATTTTTAGAGTTTTGGGTCGTCTTTACAGTCTCATCCTTTGTTGGTAACCTTATACAACCGAGAAAAACTCTACTTAACACTTAAAGTTTTGCTCAGAATTAATATGAAAACTCATAAGATGATTCCATGTTCAATCAGATGCTAACCTTCTACGATCCGTGGCTTAGTGAGTAGCGTCGCTAACAGTTCTGAGGGCGGGGGTTCAACCCCTCGTTCCAAGATTGCAACTAAAATTGCAATCTAGCAATTAACATCTTTCTTTCGCCCAGCATTTATACCGATGGTATTAAACTACAGTCGTTTTTTGATGTCAAAACGTTGAATGACATAACATGAAAACCTGCCAACACTTAAATAGGTCAGGGTGATGTAATAATTGAGTAGGTTCGATGAAGTATGCGGGTCCACTAGACAGTTGTAAATAAACTTCTCATGTGTGTGAACCTCATCCAATTCAGTTGGTGGCCAAAAACACTTATTTCCATGTCTATATACGAATATCACTGGCTAAAACAACCAACAACATCTAAAAATGGTGCTTGTTCTGGAATTAAATAATATAATATAAGCCGAAAAGAGAGAAAATATTAACTGAATTTTTCTACAGGTTTCCGTGAATGCTCTGGGTGAGATAGATGAGCTGCTCAAACATGAAACTAAAGCTGAACTGATAGAACCTTGTATTGATCATCTTTTCTCCACATGTGCTATGCAGGTGAGGGATTTAGAGTTTAACTATTGTGGAGCCAGGAGTTCTTTGTTCTGTAAAATTACTGTTCTTTTCAAAATTTGATTTTTTCAAATTTAAATTTTTTATATGCAGAAATCTCTATGAATTTCTATTTTAGAGTTTTTCTAGAAATTAAACTCATAGACCGTTATGCAAGGGGACATTATACTCTACAAAGACCCCAGAACTTGTCTTCTCTCAATAAAAACGATAACTATAAAAAAAGACGAAAAAGAGAAAATAAAGTCTCGTGATAGCTAGACTATAATGCTGTTATATGAAACCTAGTTTCTTCACTTGATCTATTTTCATTTGATTTGAAACCAAACATTTTTCTAAAAGTAAACATTACACAATACACAACCTTAAGAACATTTCATAAAGCAGAAATGAAAACTGTAAAAGAATTCTATATTACATTTGTTGTTAAAAAATATTGAACACGACCTATATTGCAGTATCGTTATGTGGTGGACTCTAAGATGAATGATAGTTTGAGTAACGAAAAAGACATTTTGAGGTATGTAAAAAGAAATACTATTTTTTGTATTTTTTTGTTAATATGGATGTTGTACATATAAACATTTTAATGAAAAGTTTTTATTCATTTTGACACCAAAAAGTTAGAAAATATCTATGAACCATTAAGTATCGAAAAGAATTTTTGTAACCGAAAATTGACTTAGAGTTCAATACTGCAGTTGATAACTTTGGATTATTTGAAGAATTGCTTTTAAATTGTTGTCTCTGATCTGGATAATATTATTTATATTTCCACCATTTCTAATATTTTAGACAACTTCAGTTTTTAACTATGGTGTTGATGTCTGTATATGGATTAAGAGAACAAGTGAAGAAAGCCAGTATGCAGGTAACAAGAAGTAGATAAATTCATGTTCAAAATATTAAGTTCTAGAAACTTTAATTGGTTAAAGTTCAAAAGTGTCATTAAAGGGACTGTAGACTTAATTTCTGGTGACCCTTCAACGGTAGAGTGGCTTGTCCGATTTACAGTGCTCTTTATACCCTTGTTTCATCAAGATATCCACACTTTACTAGCTTAAAATTGGTTGTCTCCGGGGAACCATGTGTTACGTCATTTGCACTGAGTGGGCAGTGAGCAGTGTACACTGTAAACTAAAAATTCCTGGCACTCTGTTTACAGCTGGATAAAGATATATCCGTCGTCGATTATCAGTTTAAAGGATTAAAGTGAACCATTGTGAATTCGATGTGCTACGCTATAAAATCTGGGTCATTCGAAGTTTCGTATACACTATACAGTAAGTGATGGGACATAACTTGGTTCGTTTTTTTAAATTAACAGTTTTTGAACTCGTGGAAAAGTTTCCACAAAAGTCTGAGAAGTTTTACAAATTTTAAAAGGGTTTTTTCTTTTTTCTTACACTTCGACCTTGAGAGGAAATCTATGCCAAGAAAATGAGCCAAAAACTATTGTTTTAAAACGATCTTTTCCCTTATATTTTCTCTTATTATAAAAATATTGCAAAGTTTAATATAAGCAACCTAGTACAGTATTAATGTGGTGTCTTTTAAAGTTCAAACCCTCGAAAACAAAGTAAGTTATGTCCCATTACTATGTACAGTCCCTTGAAGGTTTCACAATGGCACAATGACAGAATTTTTTAATGCGTAATTTCCACGTTATTTTCGTATTTTTACTTATAATTATAAATTGTAGGTTCTACATGATTTGATGCATATGATAATATCGATTCTACTTGAACCAGCAACTGGAAACCTACCTGAAGGAGGTCAACTTGTCAGGTATAAATAGAACTCTTTATATCATTAATATGGGATATTGCTAGCTAAAATCTTGTTAAACATTATTAAAAGGACTGGTATTATGACTTTATGTGAGCATCCATTTTAAGGGGGGTATGTACAATTCACAGGATGTGGAAGACATACATTGTTTACTAGCTTGAAAAGTTTTCACTTAGATCGTTATTGTAGCAGAGTTGCAAATTACTTCTTAGGAGACACACAATTGAGAATACTAATTTATTTTTGAATTATTATGTCCAATGATCTGCACAGTTTGAATAGTTTAATTCGATTCGGTTTGTTTACTGATTGTTTTGTTTAAAAGGTTATAAATATGAACACATTTTTAACTCTCTCATTTTTTAGAGCTATGAATGTACTCACTGTGAAGATTGTTGATAGATCTGATCCAACCTGTGTATTTGTAGCACTTATCAAACTACTTCATGGAAGTGTAGGTAAGTGTAGATACACGTGTATTTGTAGCACTTCTTAAACTACTTCATGGAAGTGTAGGTAGGTGTAGATACATGTGTATTTGTAGCACTTCTCACACTACTTCATGGAAGTGGAGGTAGGTAGATACACGTGTATTTGTAGCACTTAATGCTTAATGGAATCATGAAAGTATAGCATGAATGTATTAAAATATTTCATTTTTAGGAAATGCCCAGATGAGCGAAAAGTATGGTGGTCTTGTGATGAAATGTATTTGGAAAGTTAGTATTGGCATACATACTTAACAAATACAATTACTATTATTATTACGGTAACACAGTTACACACTTCAGTTATATTTACAAATAAGATTACTAATACAAGTACTACTATTATAACAGTTACACGATTATACTTAAAAATAAAATAACTAATACAAATACTATTATAATTACAGTTACACAGATATACAACTTAAAAATACCATTATCATTACAGCAACCAATACCAATTGCCAATTACATATTACCATTACCATTACTTTAACCATTACAATTGCAATTACAATGTACATTACAATATACATAACCATTTCATAAATACAAAAAAATTACATTTATCTACTTTATAATTTACAATTGTATTTACTTTAAGTTTTAACATTAAACAAACGTACAAGGAGATTATTCTGTCAGGGGTGTTTATTTTTAGAATTATGATATGGGGGGGGGGGGGGGGGATAATTTAATATTTAAAGGCATCTGGTTTTTGTTTTGTTTTTGGATACTAGAATTATTTTCCCATAAAAATCATGTATTTTCCTCAAATCAGCTTTTAAACCCTTAACTTCTGGGGTTGGGGGGATTGATTTTTCGAGAAAATATACACCCCTGTATTCTAATCGTTATGAAATCACTCTCTATCCTGCTATCCTATCTTAGATGAAAAAATTTGGACAAAAATTTAATATTTATTTGTTTTTTTTTTCTTTTAGTTTCCGACGAAGTTTCTAAACTTTTAAGTAATGTTACTTTCATATTTAATGATGGTAATAAAACCTCATAAAATATGCAATATATCGTATTTTGAAAAATTATACAAATGTCCTCTGATCTGTGAGTTCTAATCATAAAATATTCTCAAATAAGATTAAATCATTGAGAGAACACTGTACACTGTACACTGTGAGTTCAAATCACGAAATATTCTCAAATAAGATTAAATCATTGAGAGAACACTGTACACTGTACACTGTGAGTTCAAATCATGAAATATTCTCAAATAAGATTAAAACATTGAGAGAACACTGTACATAGTCATAGACAGTGTTTAGGATCCATTACTTTGTAATACGGATTAACTTTTTTTAAATCGAAATTTTTCCTAGTTTTCTAAAAAATTTTATGTTGAAGCTCAATCAGTTATGAGATATTCTTTCTGTAAACCAGATCCAGGGAGCAAAAAACAATTTTAATAATTGAGAAGAAAAAAATATTGACAGTAAAAATGAACCATTTTAGTGTATCCGAGCAATTCCAACCTGGTTACCAACCCTGGATGTAGGAAGCCTGATGTTGACTGTTCACGAGTTCTTGAAGGTGTTCCCCTCCTCCTACTGGAAAACTGTTGCTGAAGATACTCCGCTTAGAACTATCAAAACTTTACTTCATACTTTGGCCAAGGTAATATTTGTACAGAAGGAGGCTGTAGTCTGATTTCTAATTATCTAAGGTTGACCGTAATTGTTATTGTTATTTTTTTTTATGAGATTTAAAATTTGGGTTTATTGATGATTGTTCCAAACCACATCAAAAAAAGGGAACATACATATATTTTCCGGTTCTAACGATACAAAAATCATCAAAATCATCGAATAAAAGCAACAAAAAAAAATGCCAGGGAGGATCGATTAAGTGGTCACATCTTTTAATACTTAACAATCCTTATATGATACGTAAATAATGTTTATTGTTTAGGTGCTAGGAGAGGATTTATTGACCTGTATGGGAAGAATACAGGATCCGAACTCAAGTGAACTTGTTCCGTTTATCCGCAAAATGGTTTCTACCGGTAGGAAAACACATTCTTATAAGGGATTAGTCAGTTTTTCTGGAAAAATACACTTTACCAACATGTTTAAAACAAAGTAAGGAAAACAACAAATTATCCAATATCTTTGTGCAACCTTTGCTTGACAAATAAACTAATTTTTTGTTCACAGTTCTTTTACTCTACACATTTCTGCCAGGTTTAGATATTAGCAGATTTCTAGAAAACTAGTTGAAAATATCATGGATTCACTATGTTTTTTTTTGCCGATTTTTCTGTTTAAATTTATTGCCTTTTCAGAAATAATAAATGAAGTCTTAATTCCGGTTAAAATTGTGCTATATTGTTCGTTCAGAAACCTTCCCTGAGGTCATTTTAGTTGCAACATAGATGTTGGGTTCGATCGGTTCAGTCGTGTTGAGGTTTATCGGTCACAGACAAGCCAAATATATATACAAACCAGATAATTAAATATTCGGTAGTTGGCTCTGAAGGAGGTGTTGGTGAGACGAAGAACCCAGAATCTGCTCGGAAACGGATTCCTCGCTTCTCTAAGTCTGATCACGAGGCGCTAGCTGAAATATTCAAGAAGATCGGACAGAAGGAACTAAGCAAGGTGAACCTACTTTTCTAGTTCACATTTTCCTACAGTGGAACCCATAAAACTGGGGAAAAAACGACACTTAACTAATATTGTGTGTATTTGATTTAGTTACAAAGCGCTAAGTTTTACCTCAACTTGAAATATAAGTCTCTGTACAGTTTACACTGCACAATTGCTGGTTTTATTTTGTTTATTCGACTATATTTTAAAATCACATTTTGTTAGGTTGGTTTACAATAGCTGTATTTATGCCAATTCAATGTTTAACATTAACATTTTGTTAGGTTGGTTTACAATAGCTGTATTTATGCCACTTCAATGTTTAACATTAACATTTTGTTAGGTTGGTTTACAATAGCTGTATTTATGCCACTTCAATGTTTAACATTAACATTTTGTTAGGTTGGTTTACAATAGCTGTATTTATGCCACTTCAATGTTTAACATTAACCTTTTGTTAGGTTGGTTTACAAGAGCTGTACAACTTTAAACAGGAGAACCCACAGGAATAAATCCATTCTAATTAAACAACTAAATCATGTCGTTAAATATTAATTAACTTAATTCTTAAGAATATTTAATAAATACTTAATCATAATTTAAAGCGGCTAATGTTATGTTTGCTTAAACTCAAAAACTATTTTAACTATTAATAATAACCTACCTGTGTCTGAATTTAATGAATTTAAACCGCGTTTCAAATTATTCCAAAACCGGTTTCAATTGAGCGCCGGCTTAAATCTTTAATAATTGATTACAAATTTAAATGGAATCAACCATAGTTGAGCCACGGCTTAAATTCATTAAATTCGGACACTAGATTCTTAATTTGTTCTTGGTCAAACTATATTATTAAAGGTTTATGAAGAACCCTTGCGGTAATTGATATTTTAACTTTTTGTGACTTTCGGATCCGGAAATAAACTATGATCTAACAGGACTTGACAGTTAACCCCCAGGCTGTCAACTATTAATTTAATTGAATTCTGATCGGATAATGTTTTTACTTGGTGTTGAATTTATCTGAATGTTTTATCGTGGAACAGGCGGACCTGGAACCATTCCTTGCTAAATCCAGCCAGTACTTCAGGGAGTACATTGAGCGGGGGCTGAGGAGTGTAGAACAAGGAGGGGGTGGAGTACCTGCTACTACAGCTGGAGGTCGGAGCAGTGTATTGGTAGACAGTAATACCACAACCGGTCAACCAACTCACCTCGTCTATCTAGAGCGATTGAAAAGGTATTTAAATTATTCTTAATTCTCAAAATAAATTGTTTAAAATAATATAATTCTTCAATTAGAACTATTTTTTTCAATCTTTGTTATATTTCCACGATGACTTTATTAGTCTTGGCTTCTTCTGTTATTTGTTAATTAAAATTCCTGGTAATGGGTACAACGTTAGCATAGTTGTTAAAGTTGACTATAGTGACATTGTAATTGATTTCACAGGGATATTTCTATTTATTTATGATTCTAGTAGGGCATCAAGCTCAATAAGGAAAGTTGGAATCCGAGGTCAAATATCGCCACTTCGACAATTGGTATTTCCTCCTTATGGATTTACAGACCCAAAATTTACTATCGATCTGATGCATAGTTGAGCAAGAATGTATGTAATTCTTATAGGGCTTAGTGCAGTGCAGCCTACGCAAAAAGTTTGTCGAGTTGTCATTTTTTCTTATTATAATAATGGGCTTTTTTAGACATCCTAATCAGAATGTGCTGTATAGAAAAGTGAATATTTAATTAGATGTATTATGTATATAGCTTGTACTTGTCTCACTTGCTTTTGATTAAAATATGATAAATGAAGGTTGCGAGCTGCTGGGGGTTTGCAAACCCATGACCAGGAAAACAGAGAGACACGAGAGAACATGGAAACTATGGAAACTAAGACCGGACATACAACCAACTCCAGTAGTGGATATTCATCAGGTAGGTTTCACAAATCATGCAACACCCTGAAAACAGTTTTGCAAACACAAATCGGCACGTTATAAGATGCTATGATGTACGACCTACTGCCGTTAGAGCTGTTGAATATATAGAACAATTGCTCAAGTTATGTAAACTCATGCTTCCATTTGTGATAGTTTAAATATTAAATAAGAATTAATTTAAAATTGCCACTGAAGGAGAGAAGTGTTCATTTGAACAAATTTTTGCATAAATTCAGCCATTAAATATTGAAATTGTGACAAAAAATCTAACGTAGGCAAGGGGTGTGCAAAAATTTGAGCTTTCATTGGTTTGAGGGAAAAAATTAAGAAAGGGGGAAGGGAAGGGGAAAAGAAAGAAGGGGGAAGAGGGAAGGAAAACGTGGCAAGAGGGAAAAAAGGGCTAAAGTAAAGGGAAAAGGGGCAAGAGGGAAGGGAAAAGTGGCATAATGGAAGGGAAAAACCACACAAAAAAAATTTAAAAACAGCATCAGAAATGAAGTTGACCTTTTTAGGGCACCAAAACGCTCCTTCAGTCTACTAAAATCCAAAAAGTTTCTTTGCGATTAAAGGGTAAAACGACAAAGGGTCAAAATTGAAAAAAAAATTTTTGATGTATTATTTCAGGGCTAGGTTTGGTAAAGACAATTTCTGGACCGAGCGCTGCGGCTTATAGGACAGACTAGGGGGCCGTGCACTGCGGCTTTTAGTTCAAATGAACATAAAACATAACTTAAAAATATGTATTGTTTCAGGGTTAGGTTAAGACAATTTCTGGGCTGAGCGCTGCGGCTAGGACAGGCTAAGGGGCCGCCGAGCGCTGCGGCCACTATTTCTAATGAACATATAAATAGTTTGAAATTAACCGAAAATAGACATAATGAAATTTTGCCCCTTTGTCGCAATTTTTGACCCTATTTCGTTTTACCCTTTGTCGCGTTTTTGTCCCTTTGTCGTATGACCCTCGGTCGTTTTACCCTATGTCGTTTGACCCTTTGACATTTGACCCTAGGTCATTTGACCCTATGTCGGTGAATCTTAAAAACAGTTTGATCAGACCAAATATATTTTTGTATCTTTAGGTATCTCCAGTGCTTACAGTAGAAGAGAACGATTTTCATCAACTGAGAATAATTATCAGGTAATACCAATATTTCAAGACCTTTTTAGGGGGGGGGGCTAAAAAAACTGGAACTTTTTAAATTATATTTCTCGCCCTAATTATTTATTTTCTCACAAAAATAAGATTATTTTATAAAATTCCTAACAAATATAACATTTTCTAGGGAAGGAGAAATAATTTTAGCAAATCTAAACTTCATGATGAAAGTTCATCCAAATTTTAAGATCAAATTTTTGTAAACATTTAAATTTTTTTTACAAAATGTTTTCTTATTTTAGAGTGAGAGTACAGGTGCGCGAAGCAGTGAGGCCCCGAACGTTGATGAAATAAGAAAACGTCTCGCTAAGATCAAACAAGCCGCGTTCTAGCGTTCTAACGTTTTAACGCATTTGCGTTTTAAACGCTATCTATCCATCATTTTGTAAAAGCTTCCTATATTCATTTTGAGTTTAATCAAAATATTCAGATTTAATTACAGTTTTTTAATAGTATAACACTTCTCTAACTAGAGAAAAGTAAAGTTATTCGTTGGAAGTTTATTAATCAATAACCATACGTATTAATCGGCATTTAAGTTAGGATTTTAACAATTTAACCATTTATTAATCTAAAAATAAAAAGTATTGAAGTTATTCTTTTTTAATTTTAGATCGATTTCACACAGAATTCATAGCGAGATTATTTCTTCAAATGTCTGAAAATGTAATATCTTTGATCTACATTTTACCTACAGTTTGGGAGAGAAGATGTCGGTTAGTCGGCAAGTTCAGAAAAGTATTGTTTGTCTGTCAGAGGGTGTTAAAAATTAGGTATTCCGACTGAGAAAGGCCCGAACTTGAGATGTCTTGAGACATGTCCTGATCTTACAGGCTCAATGGAAGCCGCAAATTCGGGTCTCAACCTCAATATTTAAATCTGAAGAAGCTCATGTGTCCTTCGTTCAACTTTTTCGGCCTGAATTAAGAATATATCACTAACCATCAGACCATTAAAGGGAGTGACCGGTTATGTATGTTATTAAACTTTTTAAAGATCTGTAAATCCTGAGTTTAAGCGCAAATTCGACGTTCAAAACTCCTACCGGGGTGGATACGTTTTCAGAATTAGTTTTTTTAAATTGTTAAATATCGACAACGAAAAATAAAGTAAAAATTATACAGTAATCTAATTGGATGGTTAGGAACATATTTCTCAAAAGAAATTTGTCAATAAATCAATGCTAAAATCGATTATTTCGTTTTCATTATTATATTGAATTTCTAATTTTCTTTGAATTTATTCGCAGATTTCTTCAAATTCTTCAAATGTCGTCTTTTCAATAATAATCCTAGAAAATCTGCAAAAATCTTTTTGAATAATAAGAAACCAGAATAATGAGATAATAGAAACTAATAATTGAACAAGATTACTTATTTTCGATGATAAGATTAATTTTTATTTTCTCAACATGTTCCTATTCATGACGTCTGTAGTTTATTGTAGAACTTTTTACATTTTATGTCGTCGTTATTTAATAATTAAAGAAAACTAATTCTGAAAACGTATCCACCCCCAAAGTAAGAGTTTTGAACATCGAATTTGCGCTCAAACTCGGGATTTACAGATCTTTAAAAAGTTTAATATGTCTCAAATGAATCCGAAAGAAGCTTTCCACAACACTGTATACACAGTTCAATTACCTTACATAGCCGGTCACTCCCTTTAAACAAATAAAATCCAGGTGCTGCAATGCAGTACCCAATTGCTGATAATAACCATCTCGTATTTTGGGATTTTTGTGAGAGAAATCAAAATTATTTGGTGTATAGAGATATTTTGGTTGTTTCGTAAAATGTTGTGTTAAATCCCAGCTTTAAGATTTCACCAGTCAGATCTTAGAAGATGATCGACTTCTTGTTTCCAGTATTCAATATTGATTTCACTTAGCCTTCGGAAATAATCTTTCTAACAGCCTTCTAAATAACATGATCCTTGCTATGTTTCTATACTTCACATCAAAATGTATGCAAGAGACCTATCAACCAGAAGCTCATTTTTAATGATTTTTATTCTGGAGGCTGAATTTAAAGAATTGAGATGCGGCTTATTGCTCAAATAGGGTTGGTTCCACTTTAAATTGTATTCTGCGTTTCAAGATTTGAGCCTGCGCGGTTTTTGGCGGTTCAGCGACGTGGTTTGAATTCTTCAGATTCGGTCTCAGCTGAGACCTAGGTTTCTAAAAGACTAATAACCCAATTTTTTCAAAGAAATTTTCACTGAAACTGAACGATTTCCATACTTTTCTCGCCTAATTTAACCCATTGAAAATTCGTAAATAACATATTCGAATCGAAGTCATGCATATATACTGATTTCTCGATATAAAATAGAAAATAATCTTTTTTTCGTTTTTTTTTATGCTGAAATGAATGATTTATCCAAGTTGTAATTGATCACTTATTAAATAACAGTTGAGATTTGTGTTGGACAGCATGAACAAGTATATTTGTGTTGGACAGCATGAACAAGTATATTTGTGTTGGACAGCATGAACAAGTATATTTGTGTTGGACAGCATGAACAAGTATATTTGCATTGACTGACCGGATCCGTAGCATTGTTAAGCATCAGAGCGATTCTAAGAATTAAACCGAGCTTATCATAAAACTCAGATTTGATTTGATTTTGAGTTTGGCTAAATTATCTAACTATAAATTACATCACTGAAATCCTAATTAAAGTTGTGGCCTAGCTGTCGATAATCCAAAATTGAGAAGTTTGATTAAACCTTGAGCTAACTAATTCCTTCAAGTTGATCCATCCATTCCTTGTAATTAATTAGTTGATTAAAGGTTGGCACAAACCAGAACCAACTTGGCAGTGTGTTCTGGGGAAGGAAACTTTTCTATCTCAAAACTTTGGCTTTAGCTTTGAAACTCTAAATATCTTTTTTCAGAAAATTGCCGGATTTTCAGAATATTTAAGGAATTAAAATTGAAAGTCTATACTTTGTTTATCGAGTAAAGTCGGTTAAGCTAAGTCAGCTTTGCGCTATCCTAACCAAAAGTTTGTGCCTCCGTAAAGATGAAGGGGAAATTACTATGCGGGCTCCTGTCAGATTATATTTTCAAATTACAAGTAACATCAATATTTCGAATTTCTGATTTAATTTAAAAATCAGATTTTTCTTGAGATTTTGAATTGACGTAGTTAATTGGATGAAAAACAAAACAAAACCTTTTAATCTCTCCTGGAAACTGTGGACTTCAGATTAAATAAATTGAAATTGACAATAAAATTCTTCCTAAGAAAAGATATAATTTGAATATATTGAAGGTATCAATCATGTGAAGTGATGAACAAGTAACTAGATTTTTTATTTTATACCATATGGAGTCTTTTAACAAAATCTGGGAGGTTTTATTAATTTCAAAATTGCTTATTCTAAACATTTTCTCTCCTTCCTCTCCTAACACTTTGCCTAATTATAACCCTGGAAGAAAATACTTTCCAAACCAAACCGCGATCGAACAATAAGATTTTTTTCGGTTAGAATTTTTTTAAGTGTACAGTTTAGGAAAAGTAAACTTTTAAAGAATTGGTGGTTATTTCTTTCTTTTTTTCTTCATTTTATTGATTGAACAGTTTTTTTAACATCTGCAATTTATTTTTTTGTGTTTGAGTTTTCTCTTAGACATGTAATCTATAAAATTGGGACAATTTTCACTGTATTTTAAAGGTTTTATAAAAAGCATGTAGTTCTAGGTATCTTGGCTAATCTGAGAATGTGGATTTCCTATAATTTCTGGCAGGATTTGTCTGTAGGTTGAGTAGGTTGCAGTGTAAACAAAGAATCATTATCTATATTTATACCAATTATTTGGATCAGGTTCCCTTGACACTGAGGAGAGGGGACAATTAATGTTAAAGCTACATAAATACTATTCTACTTAGAATATCAAAGATTGTTTTTCGGATAAGAACTACTTCAATTTGGTTTAAAACGTTATAAATCTGTCATCGTCCTAAAAGAATAAAATTATTAACGGCTAGAGGAAGTTTTAACATAACTCATGAATCATTTAAAGCCAAAGAATTTTATTTAATCTTCCATAAAAAATCATGTAACATTTGTCAATGTATCAACACATCTGAACTAGTTAATTCTCCTTCTAGGATCATGTAAACTAGTTTATTCTCCTTCTAGGATCATGTTAACTAGTTTATTCTCCTTCTAGGATCATGTTAACTAGTTTATTCTCCTTTTTCAAACAAGGAAGGTAAACTTGAGAAAGTAGGTTGAAATATTAACAAGTCGTTGAAAATTAAAAATTTTATAGATTATGTATTTTTTGATAAAAATAAATTGTCGGCCCTTTGTTAAACTTTTTAGTCGTCGAACGTGAAAATTACATCAACATAGTATTGGCTGAAATTCTGATTCAACTTGCGTGACATTATTTTCCTTGTAAGTTAGTTGTTTTATTTAAATTAAAAGTTAAAACTTCAAAATTTCATAGACATAATTATTGCAAAATTTCGCAAAATTACTTAGTAGAAATTACGCGAAATTGAAGTTTCGCTAATTTCGCGAAATTACCTCATAGAAATTCCGCAAAATTAGGCCGTAATTACGCGTAATTATAGTTTCGCTTATTACGCGTAATCATTACGAAATTTTGCAAAATTACGTTGTAGAAATTACGCGAAATTACGCCGTAATTTCGCAAAATGGACGCGTAATCCTGCGAAATTACACGAAATGAAAATTATTACGCGTAACTGCACGTAATTACGCGTAAGAGAATAATCTATTACGTTGGAAACCCTAATCTAGGATCATGTAAACTAGGATTATTCTCCTACCTAGGATCATGTAAACTAGTTTATTATCCCATCTAGGATCATGTAAACTAGTTTATTCTTCTTTCTAGTATTATGTAAACTAGTTTATTCTCCTATCTAGTATTATGTAAACTGGTTTATTCTCCTATAGTTTGATCATGTAAACTAGTTTATTCTTCTTCTAGGATCATGTAAACTAGTTTTTTCTCCTTCTAGGATCATGTAAACTAGTTTATTCTCCTTCTAGGATCATGTAAACTACATAGTTTATTCTCCTATCTAGGATCATGTAAACTAGAATTATTCTCCTACCTAGGATCATGTAAACTAGTTTATTATCCCATCTAGGATAATGTAAACTAGTTTATTCTCCTTCTAGGATCATGTAAACTAGTTTATTCTCCTACTAGGATCATGTTTACTAGTTTATTATCCTACCTAGGATCATGTAAACCAGGATTATTCTCCTTTCTAGTATTATGTAAACTAGTTTATTCTCCTGCTAGGATCATGTAAACTAGTTTATTCTTCTAACTAGTATTATGTAAACTAGTTTATTATCCCATTTAGGATAATGTAAACTAGTTTCTTCTCCTATCTAGGATCATGTAAACTAGTTTATTATCCTTTCTAGTATTATGTAAACTAGTTTATTCTCCTATAGTTTGATCATGTAAACTAGTTTATTCTCCTATAGTTTGATCATATAAACTAGTTTATTCTCCTTCTAGGATCATGTAAACTAGTTTATTCTCCTTTTATGGATCATGTAAGCTAGTTTATTCTCCTACCTAGGATCATGTAAACTAGTTTATTCTCCTATATAGGATTATATAAACTAGTTTATTCTCCTACTAGGATCATGTAAACTAGTTTATTCTCCTACCTAGGATCATGTAAACTAGTTTATTCTCCTACTAGGATCATGTAAACTAGTTTATTCTTCTACTAGGTGTAAACAAGTTTATTCTCCTACTAGGATCATGTAAACTAGCTTATTCTCCTATCTAGAATCATGTAAACTAGTTTATTCTCCTACCTAGGATCATGTAAACTAGTTTATTCTCCTATAGTTTGATCATGTAAACTAGTTTATTCTCCTATAGTTTGATCATGTAAACTAGTTTATTCTCCTATCTAGGATCATGTAATCTAGTTTATTCTCCTACAGTTTGATCATGAAAAATTGTTTATTCTCCTGACTATCTTCTGAAAGGGTATGTCCAGTACTGTAATGTACTGCTCCTATACTGTACTGTTGCCTCTAGAATAGATACCCACCAAAATGAGACTAACTACAGGATGAGACTTCAGATATGATTGTACGGAATTTGTTTAGCCTGTTTTCTTGCATTCCCTGAAGACCAAAACTAGCTTTTAATCATCTAGTGAACCATCCAAATACTCAATTGAATGCAGTAACCACGAATCAATCTTAAAATCGTCGTAATCTGAGATTTTTGGGTTGTCTTTACAGTCTCATCTTGTGTGGGTAAAAGCTTCTGGAAAAAAAACCTAGACATAAATATTTTGGTAAAAAAGTCCAAATTTTCTGCAGTCCTTTGACAAAATGTCACTGGGATTAAAATATATTTATATATAATGGGATTAAAGTCCAGAGTTTTAGGTTCCTAGGACATTTTTTCCTAAAGTAATATAAAATTTTTAATAAATGTTCAGCTTATATTTGATGTGAAGGTAATTTATAAAAGTCAAAATAAATGCTTTACATAATAATATAAAATAATATAAATAATATAATAATATAAAATAATATAAATAATATAATAATATAAAATAATATAAATAATATAATAATATGAAATAATATGGGGACTGACAATAAAGTCTGAGAGTCCTGAGAGAACAAGATCCATGAAGCTTCATCCTGTGCTAATCTCGTAATTTATTCAAAAATACAATTTGTCTCGTTTGTTTGTCAAACATGGTTAGAAAATATTAAATGAACAATAAATTTTTATTAATAAATTCTGGCTTCTTCAAAGAGATTGTTAACCTATTTGAAAATCAAAAAGAATAGATAAGTATAGAGTGGAATTAAAGGGAGTGTTCGCGAAAAATGAAAGGGGACGTTTTTAACAATTTTCTCCATATAGACGCAACAGATAGAAGTAAGATTAGTAGCGATCAAAAGCGCTTTTTTATCGCATTAAGCCTATACCCCCTTTCATTTTTCGCGAACACTCCCTTTAAGTCGAAACAAATTAGTCTGAAACCGCCATTTTTGCAAGTCTACTTCCCACATTTGTGCTATATAACCTGTTGGGCCCTGGAACATTTTCTTTCTTGAAAACTATTTAATTTCCCAAAGTAAATTCTTTTGCAACCTATGATGCATTCCTGAGTTCAATTTAGCATAAGCCACGAATTAATTTAATTACTTCTCAATATCTCGTGGGGTTCAGAACTCAAATAAAGGGATTAAGCATTGATCCTCCAATTTTAATGTGTCCACATTGGATATCAAGATCAAACGTTCAAGATTAACAATCCTCAAAACAGCAGTTCCGATTCCTGGATCCAAATAAATTGTAAACTTTAAATAAAAAGTTGAAAATAAAAATGTATTGACCATAATAAGTTTAATATAAATTATAATGAAAAAATAAATTCAAATTGATGAAACTGATTACAACTAGCTTGTAAGTCTAGGGTGGTTCAGCAGGCAGGATGGTCTGGGATATACTTTGAGCAGAGAACACCCTGTAGGTCTGTTAAAGAATTATTCCAATCCTCCTCAATAAACTCCTGCAAATAATCTGCCATCAAAAACTTAAAATTTTATCATTATCTGATTTTCCATTCCCTATAATTTTGCATGGCTATTTATTTATTGTCGCAAATACTGAGATTTTTAACTGTACACAAATTCACAATCGAATTAATTTTTCACCCAAAATATCGGTTAAGAAAAACAATTTTCATACAGAGGAATATGGTTGCCAAGAGTTGTTTTAGACAAAGAAATATAAAAAAAATTCTCAAAGTAATTAAGAGTGTCCGAAAATTAATGTAAATCGAGATGTTTGGCAACAGACCACTTAATCTTTTTTTCATAATTATTTGCTAAGATTTTGGAAATTACTTGAAAAATGAAACTTGGAACCAAACGAATTTTATCTTATGTTTGATAATTTTCCTAGAAATTAGATCACTTTCCCAAAAATATTTAAATTTTGTAATATAAGACAAAACTTAAGTAGAAATTTTTTTTTCAGGTGAAAAGGTATTTGATGAACCGTTTTAATTATTAAATTATTTTATTGTAGAATTTCAACATTTGAAATGGAATTAATTAGCGAAGTTTCACCAGAGGAGTTGAATGCTTTTTAAAAAGTTTATATAAAGAACTTACTCCATTGAAAAGAATCCATGGAACAAACGAGAGTTGAGGATTTAGGTTCTCTGTCTCAACTCCATAGTTATACAGTAGGCTAGGACCATCCACTAGTATACACTCCTCTACTCTACAATATATACAGTAGGCTAGGACCATCCACTATTATACACTCCTCTACTCTACAATATATACAGTAGGCTAGGACCATCCACTAGTATACACTCCTCTACTCTTCAATATATACAGTAGACTAGGACCATCCACTAGTATACACTCCTCTAGTCTACAATATAAACAGTAGGCTAGGACCATCCACTAGTATTCACTCCTCTACTATACAATATATACAGTAGGCTAGGACCATCCACTAGTATACACTCCTCTACTATACAATATATACAGTAGGCTAGGACCATCCACTAGTATACACTCCTATACTCTACAATATTTACAGTAGACTAGGACAATTCCATTAGTATACACTCCTCTACTCTACAATATAAACAGTAAGCTAGGACCATCCACTAGTATACACTCCTCTACTATACAATATATACAGTAGACTAGGACCATCCACTATTATACACTCCTCTACTCTACAAAATATAGAGTAGACTAGGACCATCCACTAGTATACACTCCTCTACTCTACAAAATATAGAGTAGACTAGGACCATCCACTAGTATACACTCCTCTACTCTAAAAAATATACAGTAGACTATGACCATCCACTAGTATACACTCCTCTACTCTATGATATATACAGTAGACTAGAACCATCCACTAGTATACACTCCTCTACTCTACAATATATACATCTACACTACATAGTATAATATCACATATTTGAGATCCTTATCAGATTGCAGTGAGAGGTTTCGTGAATATATAATTTTTCTTAAAGGTTTCTTTGTACATTTCCCCCAGAAGCGGAAATAATTCTAAATCCCCGGAAGTTGTCACTGATAATTTTTGTGAAAGTAAAATTGGGGAACATTTATTAGGCACACCTTTTTTAAGCTTTCTATATATTTTTCTTTCTTCTTATAGTTAAATTCATTAAATTTCCCTAAAATGCAAGTTTTCTTATTCTTATATGTTTGATACCTGATGTCGGAAACCTTTGATTTGTCAAACTTTGAATTATGACAGATAAAAAAGTAAAAAACCAAAGGTTTAAATCAGGTTGCTAAGATATGTTGAAGGGAAAATTTAGAGTTTAGGGCGGGTGATCACTGATTAAATCATTTTGACCTTCGAATTTGATCAATTTAAACAATACTGAAATCTAAAATTGTGAATACATCACTTACAAGGCAATATCTACAGGGTTAGTTATTCTTCCCATGCATAGTTCTGCTGTAGCAATAGAGGCAGGCGACTTAGACATTATACAATCTATCAGAGGAACTATATCACCCTGCTCAGGAACCTATACAGAATAGAATAGAATAGAATAGAATACTTACTTCATACAGGTGTCCCAATAAACATGGGAATTCAGTGACGAATTCGATATCGTCTTTGTTATAAATTAGCATTGTAATAACTGATTTCAAAAGTTATAATATTATAAAGTCTGCTAGAGTTTATTTAATGAAAACGGTAAATGGCTGTAAAGATGTGTCTATACTGTCTCCGCAAGATGAACAGTGAAGACGGACAAGTTTACTCTTTTTTATACTGTAATTATCTTCTTTTACTAAGTACAACCGTATACAGTCAAAACATAAACAAACAATTTGTAAGCATAGCAGACGAAACTCTTGATGATCTAACGGTTAATTTTGTGTTCTCTCTGAAACTTATCTTTCAATTGCGTTACATGAATTTGAATGAAAATTTATAGCTGCAGAGACCTATTAATGTTAAAATTAAAATCGCCCTGGACCATGACTAGTTATCAGTTAATAATGTGTTGTTCTATAATTTAACAATATTTAAATCTTTTAAAGTGGTATTTTTTGTTTAAAACGTATCCGCCGGCTCGAGAAAAGAAAAAGAACATTTTTAGTTTATTATGTCAAATTGTGATTGCAAGTCACAGGTTGCTGGCATAAGGACAGAACTTTTAAACATCTGCAGAAATAATAATTTCCGTACTGTCGTCTCAAAATAATAATTTCCGTACTGTCGTCTCAAAATAATAATTTCCGTACTGTCGTCTCAAAATAATAATTTCCGTACTGTCGTCTCAAAATAATAATTTCCGTACTGTCGTCTCAAAATAATAATTTCCGTACTGTCGTCTCAAAATAATTATTTCCGTACTGTCGTCTCAAAATAATAATTTCCGTAATGACGTCTCAAAATAATATTTCCGTACTGTCGTCTCAAAATAATAATTTCCGTACTGTCGTCTCAAAATAATAATTTCCGTACTGACGTCTCAAAATAATAATTTCCGTACTGACGTCTCAAAATAATAATTTCCGTACTGTCGTCTCAAAATAATAATTTCCGTACTGTCGTCTCAAAATAATAATTTCCGTACTGACGTCTCAAAATAATAATTTCCGTACTGTCGTCTCAAAATAATAATTTCCGTACTGACGTCTCAAAATAATAATTTCCGTCCTGTCGTCTCAAAATAATAATTTCCGTACTGTCGTCTCAAAATAATAATTTCCGTCCTGTCGTCTCAAAATAATAATTTCCGTCCTGTCGTCTCAAAATAATAATTTCCGTCCTGTCGTCTCAAAATAATAATTTCCGTACTGACGTCTCATAAGTATCATTCTTTGTGGGTCCCCCTGTGTCTGGTATCTACACAAAGGAAATAAAAAATATAAGTCTTAAGTAAGAAAAGTTTTAACAACTAAATTATTTGAGGATTTTTCTTCGCTAAGCGGATTAAACAGATTAGTTTAGACTCTACTAAGTTCGTTCTCAAGTTTTAATTGATTGCAACAATTCCTCCCAATCCCTTCTTAACAACTCCTACCACTCCCTTCATAACAACTCCTCCCATTCCCTTCTTAACAACTCCTCCTACTCCTTTCTTAACAACTCCTCCCACTCCTTTCTTAACAACTCCTCCCACTCCCTTCTTAACAACTCCTCCTACTTCTTCCACTCCCTTCTTAACTACTCCTCCCACTCCCTTCTTAACAACTCCTCCCACTCACTTCTTGCTCTGGCATATCCCATGAGTGACTTAGGGACTCAAGCTCCACTAGATAGAACCAGCAAGTGAAATTAATGCGACTTGGTACGAATTTGTGACCTCGTGGCTTCTACAGATTCTACAGACATGTAGTAGATCAGGAAATTTATATGTTTATATACTTGAAAAAATTTCAACCTATCGTGAAATTTACTTTGAAAAGAACTTCTGAAAGTAGCAGAGGTTGATCATGTTCATGTTCATGTTTTTTTTTTCTTACGTTGATAGTTTCCTACAGCTTTAAACCAATTTCTTGTCTTTGGCAGAATAATTCAGCACACGGAAAAACAAGATCGAAGACCAAAATTGTTTGACCTTTAGAACATCAAGATTAAAGATGTACAGCTGTCGTCCTCACAGTCTCATCCTTTGAAGGTAACCCTATATAATTTTGGACTGGTAGAAATGGGAATCGTTTTTTGTTTTAATCAACCTTTTTTAGTATTAAGAAGCTCGACACAAGACTTTTTTTTCATAATTATAAACTGTATATATATTATATATATCTACTCGATAAGTTCATAGATTCTTGCAGGGAGCCTATTAAAACCTTAAATGCTTACTTAAATTAAACCCACAAACAATGCATTTCCTATTGTCAAGTTCTAACCGTTAATTAAACAAAAAGGATTTAATTACCAGATTAATAAGACAAGCATGCATCATGTTACCATAGCATTCATTAGGTCCATGCTGGCATGTAAACTCCCAGGACCCTTCCTCACCAGTTGTCTAGAATTTCAGGCTAGTTAGAATACTAGAATATCAGACTAGAGAATACTGGAATATCAGACTAGAGTATACTAGAATATCAGGCTAGCAAGTACACTAGAATATCAGAAAAGTTATTATAATTGAATATCAGACACTAGTTAGTATACTAGAATATCAGACTAGTTAGTATACTAGAATATCAGACTAGTTAGTATACTAGAATATCAGACTAGTTAGCATACTAGAATATTAGACTAGTTAGTATACTAGAATATCAGACTAGTTAGTATACTAGAATATCAGACTAGTTAGCATACTAGAATATCAGGATAATATCAAACTAGTTAGTATACTAGAATATCAGACTAGTTAGCATACTAGAATATCAGGATAATATCAAACTAGTTAGTATACTAGAATATCAGACTAGTTAGCATACTAGAAT